CCTTTCTTTCAGCAGCCATTATAAACTGCAGAGGAAGCAGCTGTCCACGGCCGCCTCCACCTCCTCCTCTGCCACGACCGCGGCGAGGGAGCATTCGCGGCGTCAAGTCCATCTTCTTCGTCAGAAGCAGTACGGGAAAGCAATGTGACGCGCCACAGGGAGAGAGAGTGTGACGCGCCACAGGGAGAGAGAGTGAGTACGTCTTAGATAGTTGCCGACGGACGCTGATCGATTTTATAGCAAAGAAAACCAAAAAGGCACAATCACTTCTTTGTTAAGTTTAGCCTAATTTTTGTACTAATTGCTGAAAGAGCACCTAGCTTTGGGATTCTTTTCTTTTTTCTCCTCCAATACTTTTCCTTTTTCAATTAAACCCCTACAGCTATGTTTAGGAAATGCAGGAAAATGTGGCCAAGGAAACTTTTGATGGAAAATGGAGAAACTTTTAAAATATTTAGGAGATTAGGAGGAGTAAATATTGAAAATTTTGTGTATATTCTTTTCAAATTTCTTTACTCCTTCTCACAAACATAGTACAAGTATCTGTTATGTATCTATATATCTCATCCACGATCCATCCATAATATTCTCATAAGGGAAGGGGGTAGCCGGTAAAGTGGATGTCTCTAGAGAGATTAGGATGTTAGGAGCAATTCATGTTATCATTGAGGCAACAAACACGCAAATGGTTAAAAATTGATTCCCGATTTGAGGCGGTAATATGAGCATCAAAAGATTTGTTTTGATACGTATAACTCATTTTTTATATTTAAAATATATGTTGGACCTTATATTCCGTCGGTCAACCCTTAGCAAGTCTTGGTCAACTTCATGCAAACCTAACAATTTATGAAAATAAGAGTAAAATTTGAGGTGACAACAAATAATCCTGGTTTCCATCCCTTGGCATAATACAACCAATGAAAGCAAAACGAATACAATTTAGATATGTTGACATCCCGTTTTATCCGAGAATTTTGTAATATAATGAGGGTTTACTTGTACCTTATCGTTTTCTTCATCAACATAGATAATTTATTCTATTTCTCACTTTACACATAATCTTGCCGTCGTCGTCATCGTCGTCGTCTCGTTATTATTATTGTTATAGGTAATTTAAAAAACGAAAAAAGAGAGGACGAGTGCCCAAAGCTTGCTGTGTAAGTAAAGAGAAAGGGTCAGACCAGAAAAAAAAAAGTAAAGAGAAAGGGGGCCTGATGACAGTGGGAAGAGGAGAGGGAGAGTTTTATAAAAGCAGAGACAAAGTCGAGGAAAATTAAAATGTGGAAAAGAAGTGATAGAAAGCAAACCATGTGAGGTAATTGCTGAATAATTTGTTTGGAAAATAAACTTAAGCCCTTTATAGTAATTCTTAACACCGATGATTGGAATATTGGATCTAAATTGTCATCTTGTGCATACACTGATACAATAGTTGCCATCAAAGGTTAATGATAGGAGCACTTTCTCATGTGTTAGGCCCTTTTTATTTTGTGTTTTGGACGATGGGAATCTTGTGCTGACATGGTGTCTTTTTTTTTTTTGAATCTAATACTATGAACTAAAGGTTAGTCATGTGGGTCCATTTGTAAAAGTCACTAAAAGGTGTTCATTAATGTTCTCATACTAACATTCCCATCATTCTCTTGTAAGTTGGGTTTTCTTTCGTACTTATGAAAAGGGTAATTGTAAATAATGCATACGGGGTACCGGTTTATAAATGGGCATTTTGATGGTGCTAACATCTTCCTCATGCGTAAACCGACTCCCGAACCCAAGCTCCGACCAATGAGCAAATAAAATTGCCTTCCAAAATAGAAAATGCAAAAGACACATTGCATTCTTTTCATCGCACGAGGTTTGCTTGCATCGACAAGGTTTCTGAGCTGATTAGCTAATGTAATAGATATGGAAACGATGTTAACAGGGGAGTTTCCTTTAAAAGAATCATCATATATGAGAATGGTCAATAGATCATGTGGACCTACTGGCGAAAGTCGATCGAGGTTATCCAAACTTGGTAGATAATCGGAGAGCGACCTAGATCGCTTAGCGGTTTCAAACTTGAGTGCAAAGTGCACGAATAAGGCTCAGATAAAGTTGTAAATCTACGCGGATTTAAGTGCTGTGGAATGTAAATACATTAGAAAAGAAACTATAGCAAAAGGAAACACATCTTAATTGAATAAGATGATAAGTAAATGCACGAAATTAAATACAAGGAAAGGAAATGATTTGACTCTCGGTGAAGTGCCTAATTGTAGGCATCTCTTCTCATGATCAAAGACTATCTTTATAGTGATGCAAATCCGCCATCTCCCTCCCTAGTCCCAAATTTCCCTCAATCAAATCCTCTTCTCTTTCTTATCTCTCTACCCCACCCTCCTTAGCCTTTAACTAGCCGCCACTCGATGGCTATGCCGCTAAGCCGCCATGGGCTGGGTGCCGGTTGCCCCACCACCATTGCTGGCCCAACAGCGACTCCCTGCCCCTCAGTCTTTGCCGCCGGTCAATCTCTCTCTCTCCTTCACTTTCTCTATCTAACCGATTCTCTCTCTCTTCTATCTAAACTTGATGTCAACGTTGAGCTTCTCAAAACAGATTGGGCTGAGGCATCTATGGAGGCGTTGGGCCTCTAGATCTGGAGGCAGCGGCTCCTCCACTAGGGGTGAGCGCGGTTCCCGGGTAGAACCGAGAACCGTAGAATCGAACCGGCGGGTCCGGTTCGGTTCCCGGTTCCATGAAGAGAGGATCCGGTTCCCGGTTCCCCATTTTTAGGAACCGGGATCCCTAAAACAGGTTACAATTATTATTTGGTCCTTTCTTTCCCTTCAGTTTCACTTCCACCCGCGAGCATTTCTGCATTTCTCGCGCTCTGCTAGGGTTCCGGCGGGCTCCCACCGTCTCTCCTCGGAGGTGCAATTCCGGCCGTCCTTCTTGCTCGCTCGCTCGCTGGAACGCGCCGCGCGAGATTGCCAGCGACATGGACAGCAAGAAGTTGGTGCGAAGCGTCCTGGAGTCGTTCCTCCTCTCCGACGCTGCGGGCGAGGACGGGGCCAAGGGCGGCCAACCTGACGTCCGAGGAGAGGCCGGCGAGGTCGCCGCGGAAGCGCCGGCGAGGTCGCCGTGGAAGCACTGGCGAGGGAAGTGAAGATGGAGCTCGGCGAAAGTGGAGGACGCGTCATTTGTGAGGTTGAAAGTGAAACCCTATTGCATTGTAGAGAAAGTGAACTTCTTGCTCGTCACTTAGTTTTTGTCTGCTAATTCATGGCGAGACTGCATAAATTGTGTTCGAAAGCCATGGCTGTCTGGGTTTGTGAAGAGGTGCCAATATGTATTTCTTTGAAGTTCGGATTGCGCACGCACAAGCATCTCTTGTACTGGATAGTCAAAAAGGCGAAGATGATAGTTCTGCAAAAGCTTTATCAAATGCAGTCTCTTTGTTAGCTGAAGAAAATGGGATTATAGGCAAATTTGAATTGTAGCTGTCTAGTTTGCTGAGGCTAACTTAGGGAGCATGAAAGAGGAATCCTTACTCTAGAAGCCCCTTGGCTGTAAGTAACACCTGAATAAGATTGGTGAGGAGAAGACAAAGTGCAATCGGCAGTACTAAATCCAATGTTGTAGATTCTCACTTCGCAGTAATAGATAAGTGCAAAAGGCAGTTGTAAATCTAACATTTTAGATTCTCACTTGGTGGGTAATGTCTCTCCTTGGATTTTTCATGGTTTTCCTTGATTGGCAATTGGGACTTAGCTCTAGAACCTCTAAAGGCTCTACTTGCGTTGCCGATAAAACAATCGGTACTGACTAGTGACATTTTCATTATATTCCTTTTGTGGCTGACTGATTATTCTGCATTCTGTGATTAGATAAGCCACATCAACAACTTTTAAATCATCATTTGATGTTGGTGTAGCTTTCAGATATGAGGTATGTTACTCGTCAAGATTATAACGGCACAAATATGGTATCGATAAGGGACTACTATATCAAAGATGGAAAGAATTTCCCAGTGCTAAAGGTGATTGCACATGTATAACATTCTCTCCTCTATCTAAATCAACAATGATGCTCTTGTCTTTTTATGCTAGCTGGTTCAGGTATAATAATTTTGAGTGGTCTTTCTTACTCTTTGCTGCCTGTGAGCTTTCCTAAGATTTGATGACAATGGTTTATCTGATCACTGATTGATGCTGCATATAATTGACACTCTGTGTTTATGTCGTTAATATCTGCAATTCCAACTACTTCAGTGGCTTTTGCTAAAAGAGTATGTTTGTCTCAGTATAATTCTTTGGGTTTCTATCAACACTATGTGTCTCTTTCTCTTGTATTGACTCCATAATGCTGCTCTTGGCGTAAAGTTGTATAAATGTGTTTTGGTGGCCTCTGAACCTCTAACTATAAATATTTACTGTAATGTGTCGAGATTGAAATCCCATAGCAAGTCAACTCCTTTGGAGCTATCTATGGGTTTGCATTGGCTTGGGAATTGTTATATGTGTAGAAGACAACAAAACGTCAAATATGATCATATTATTGAGGCAAGAGATACATGGAAGTTATGAGTGTGATATGAGCATAGTAAGTAAGGAAGTGTCTGATATACATTTACTTACCCTTTTCTCTATATCTCCAAGCATTAGAGCACTGTTGCACGGATGGGTCTCTCTTTCTCTCTCTCTGCTCATCCAACGTCCATTACCTTCATCTCAAGCCTATATGGAAGGATGACACATCCGTGAACTATCTGAGAAGATTACTATAACTTATCTTTAGGTCCAAGAACTATTTTTGCTTATTTGTTATACTACCTAGTCATAAATGTTAATGCTGTACATTGCTAGCTTACTTTTCTTTTGTCACACTAGATTTTTGTAGTCCTGTATGTTTTTCTGAATTTTATAACCATTTTTGTCCATGTTTTTGCTGGATTTGTAGTTTTCCTTTTTTTGCCATCAAGCGTGTTTATGCAAATATCTTCTTTTGTTTTGATTTAGGCACTATCTTCTTGACTTGATGAGAGTAACTCCTCGTGTTGCAAACTATACTGGACCTGGATCTTGATTTTGTATTTTGAGACAGGAACTAGTCACAGCTTTTTGCCAGGTAGCTCATGCTATTACTGTAGTTAAGTGGTTCAGCCATCTTCATGATTTCTTACTTAAAATTTTTCTATTGAGAAGGCCCAAGCTGCAGGGAGATCGAAACAGAGTTCAAGCTCTGATACTGTCCGTGACTCACCAACTGATTCTTTAAGAGTTGCCAGAGATAACGGACTTGGGAATGCTGATGCTGGTGTTGGAGGATTTTCCGACAGTAAGGTAGTTACCCTATCTTTTCCCTTCAATTGGTATTGGGCAATTATAGTTTAGTTCTATCCAGGCATTTGTAAACTTGGCATTATATCTCTTGAATATCACATCAGGGCATTGTGTATGTATCATTCAGATGATCTACTATTGCGTTTATTTTCGTTTTGTTTAATTCAAAACGAAATTAAAAAAAAGAACCTGTTGGAACCTGGAACCGACCCTGGAACCTGTGACAGGGTAGGTTCCAGGTTCCACGTTCCGACGGGTAGGTTCCAGGTTCCTCATTTTGAGGAACCTGTACCCGAGGGTAGGTTCCAGGTTCTAGGCGGAACCTACCCGGAACCTGGAATCGCTCACCCCTATCCTCCACGGCCAAGGGACACGACGGCCACGGAGGAGCCGTTGAGACCAGCAATCGAGGCGAGTGGAAAAAAAATAGAGAGGATGATGCGAACAATGGCAAGTGAATGATTAGGGGTGTGCAAAACGGACTACCCGGACCGGGAATTGCTCGGACCGGAAATCGCCCGGACTGGCCGATTTGGTCCGGTTCCTAGTTCCTAAAAGAGGAATCGGTGTCGGGGCAGTCCGGTTCACGGTTCCGAGGGAGAACCGAACCGGACCGACTATATATATATTAATTTTGTTTCAAAAAAATTAGTAAAATGTGAACTAAACCCTAAATACATAAATTCATTGACAAAAATCAGTAAAATATGAACTAAACTCTAAGTGAACTTCATTGATATAAATTAATTGACAAAAATTAGTAAAATGTGAACTAAACCCTAAGTGTTTGACAAAAAAAAACACTAAACCCTAAGTGACCGGTTCTATTAGACTGAACCGAACTGGACCAACTAGTCCTGTCCCGGTTCTCAATTTTGGGAATCAGTTTTCCCAATCCGGTTCTCTGTTCAGGTTCGGTTCTCGATTCCACCTTGGAATCGAACCGAACCGGATTAGGAACCGATCACCCTTATGCATGATGAGGAGAAGGCAAAGCACTAATGGCGATCTGATAGGCGGTGGTGGTTGGGCCCGAATTTGGTGACGATGGCATAGGCACAATGGTCGTACATAAATAGACTTGTCAAATGGGTGGGCCGAGTCGGGTTTGGGTCGGGTCATAAATGATCCGACCCAAATTGACCCATTTAACCCGTTTAAGATCCTTTTATCGTAATTCAAAATTCTTGACCTGTACCCGACAATACCCAACTCAATCCATTTAACCAAATATAGGAAAGCTTGTTTCTTATGATTTTTTTTAAAAAAAATTAGTGCTAAAACACTTTCATTAAAATCTAGTGGACAATTTTTATAATTTTTTTTAAAATTTAGGCTCCGTTTGTTTCGCGAAAAATGTGACATTTTTGGAAAATGTTTTCTAGAAAGTCATTTTTCTTGAATAATGACAATATTTTTCGATGTTTGGTTGAAACCTGAAAATAAACTGGAAAATATTTTCTGCCATTTGGTATGAAAAATCTAATATGATTTTCCTCCGTGCACTCCTTTTAATATTTTGCACTCCTTTTAATATTTTTTATCTTAAAAAATCAAAATTTTGATTATTTTTCTTTTCTTTTTCTTTTTTCTTTTCTCTTTTTTCTTTTTCCTTCTTCTTCACCGGTCACAGGAGAGGGACAACCTTGCCAATCTGGCGAGGTCAAAGCCTGGCCAGCCTCGGGCGAGGTCAACCTTACCGATCTAGCGAGGCCTCGCCAGCGCTAGAGGTCGGCAAGCTCGAGGCTCGCCATAGGCCGAAGAGGCCTCGGCCTTGCCAGATCGGCGAGTTCGTCCCTCGCTTATGGCCGGCCACTGGCCAAGGAAGAAGAAAAAATAAAGAGAGGAAATAAAAAAAGAAAAAGAAAAGGAAAAGGGTAAAAAGAAAAGAAAAAAAATTATAAAAAAAATTCAGAAAAATTAAAATCAGAAAAATTAAAAAAAAATTAAAAATGACTTGTTTATGATTCACTTAAACTTGTTAGATAATCCATTTATGACTCATTTAATACCCATTTAAGACCCATTAGGTTAATAGGTAACCAATTTATGACCGATTTAAGCTTAATTTTAAAACTTAAGCTAACTCATTTTTGACCGTTAACTATTGAATATGAGTTCTAGACCCATTTTGCCACATCTATTCAAGAGGCTTCTAATGGGGGTGGAGAAAGAGGAAAAATAAGAGATTCGTCTGCGAGTGAGGGTTTTTGGGATTTGGATCAGGATTGTGAGTAGATGTGAGCATGGGCCACGGCCTAGACATGAGCTTGGATTTTCCAGGCCGGACTAGATTGGGTCGATTTGAGAACATTTGGTTCTAGCACAAAATTTTTTATCCTTATTAAAAATAAATTGCTTAGTATATTTTTGGCCTCAAAAATCACTTTTTTATATGTTTGTGTTTTTTAAATTATTTATGACTTCATTTAAATTTTTTGAGTATAAATAATATATTTTCTATTATTTATTTTTCTATATATTACATTCACGAAATAATTTTTAATTTTTAAAATAACAGGTCAGGCAAGTCTGGCCTATTTTGGGCATGAGCATCTTGCGCCATACCACCTTGAAAAAGAAGGGAATCTTGAAATCTTGACCGGGGCCTATCCAGGCTAAAAAACTCGGGCTTTCGGGCTCGCGACCATTTTCGCTAACACCAATTAAAGTCCATAATTGAATGGACAGATAATACAATATTATGAGGGAGATAGTAGATGAATTCATGATAAGGGATAACTGATCTTTATCCTTCATAGCACTTGTAATAGTTGTTTGTACACTCAATTCATTGGACAAGGAGGCCAGCTCTCTCCCTACCTCTCTCTCCCTTTCTTGCATTTTAGCCTTTCTTCGTCTCTTCAACTTCTGGAGGGGAGGGGTTTGACCTAGATCTCTCCCTCCCCTCCTTCATTGTTTTTCGTTTTATTTCTTCTTGTTTCTTTCCTTACTCTCCCGATCAAGTTTTAGATCTGAGAGTTTTGCTCTCTCGATATTCGATCTGGGAGCTTTTCTTTCCTAACTAATTCTAGATTTAGGAGTTTTAATGAATAAGTACTCTGACTCCAGTTTCAATGGTGTTCATAGCAGTTTTGGTATCAAATTTGTACTCGTTCAATGTATTTTTGTTAAAAGCTTCGGAGTCTCGCTCTTGCTAAAGGGCTTGTTCTCACGATCTGAGCTTATTCAACATGTTTATGTTGTCTCCGTATGGTGATGGTGTTGGGGATGTCGAACCTTGGCACACACCACCGAAAGGCAAAACCGTAACTACTGATGGAGATCCCAGGGTGTGCTCATCATTGACAAAACTGTAACTACTGATGGAGATTCCGGCGTGTACTCATCATTGATAAAGATGTGTGATTCGGTGATCAGCCGTCGATCCTTTTGCTTGGATGTAGTCGCAGATTTGTTTTTGAAGGACGAGTGTGTAATTATCTTTGTCAATCATGCTTCGATGATGTAACTTGATTCTGGTTTTTGATTTGTTTTGGAGTTTTATAGGCTTGCCTTGTCATGGTGACTTTTGAAATTTCCTATGGTTTGTTTCATGTATTATTTTAGTAATGAATGGAAATCTCTTTTGACAAAAAAAAAATAGTTGTTTGTAGGGAAATGACACAAATAGTTCATGAACTTTAACTCAATATGCAATATCGTCCTTCGATTTTAATTCGTTCAGTATAGTCCCTAAACTGTTAATAAATGTTCAATCTAGTCCTTCGACTCTATAAAAATGTTTAATGTCATCCTTTCATTAATTCAAGTTAATGGAATATGCTTATGTGGTTTTCAATCAATTAAGTTTGAACAGTAGACAACAAAAGGAAGTTACACTTCATCTCAAATCAGGATTTAATAATCCATGTCATCAAATAATAATGGGCATGTTAATGCCCTAGTTTTTCTTTTCCTTTTCTAATAGATGGATAAAAGGACAAAGACCATTGACAACTCACACATCCAACAAGGTAACAGTCACGGCCACGGTCTCGCTGGCAGGAAAAACAATTCGATGAAGGAGATCAAAAGCAGCAAAGGCCATCGATGAAGCTAAGTTCCGCAGGATTGAAAGACAGGCAACATAATTCCAAGGCTGATTCAATTTTAGCTTGTGGCCACGACGCAGGTTTTAGCCTGGAGGACCAACAGAAGAACCATTCATCATAAGATGGAAAAGAGCTAAATTGGTAGTTAGGAGCAGACCAAACATGATCTCAAATAAAACCACGATTGATTGGGACAACTTTTGTGTAATGTCAAGGAAAGCATTCGATGAATTCAGAGGGAGAGGGAAGTGATTTGAAGTACATACCAAGGATCAACTGGTCTTCTTTGGAGTCCTTGTCCTTGAAAGATAACGACAGGCGGCCATTGCATTCATAGTGCCGAAGAACATTAAGCTGTCCTAAGAACGTACTGGATCAAGTGACAGAATTCACGGAGGATCGAGTTCTTCCTGCCACAGGAGAAACTTGAAGATGGAAAGATAGGAACGGGAGAAGCAAGTCAAGGAGCGAATTGTAAAGGCAGTTTCACGAGCAGGGTAATAGAAGGGTGAAGTGCTTCAGGAGGATAAGCTGTTTAACTAAAGATTACCTAATAAGCCGTTTAAATGGAGATTACCTCGGGTTGCCAACCTTACGCTTCGTGATAGAACGTGGTTGATGAAGTGCTCAGAAATCACTGTCAGTTAAAAGAAGAGGAAAAGGTCCGTTCTTTAAGGCGCAATTTTCCCACTTCACTATAATGATGGCCTGTGGATATTAGGAAAATACGAAATGCTTTATAGCATATGACATACCATCAGTTATTAACATGGGTCAGAAGAGGTTGAATACAATGAAGCAGGGAATCAACAAAGGAACTCATAGCGGATGAGCACTTGTAATTGGCAGTCGATGTTGAGAAAAATCAGTTTAAAGGTATTGACAGAGGGATGAACAAAGGAGATAATTTCATTAAAACGGTATTGTGATTACATGTTGTTTACAAAATCCCTCACTTCTCCTTGGAAAGTCGACATGCTATGATCTAAGTGACTAATCTCAAGTTGTAGCTGGTTCCTGACTTGTCGTTGGTCGGCCATCTTCTTGTCGAGTCGATTTTTCTCACCCATCAATGTGTCAAAGGTGTCAAGATCATTCCATAGAACTTTGTCGGCCCGAGCTATCTTGGCATCCTTGAACTTTTGTTGATGTCGAACTTCAGCTAGTTGTTTCTCAAGGTCCACCTTGCGAGCAGCAAGGTTAGTCCGCTCATCAACTAAAGCCTGTAGAATGCTCTGGTTGGTCTTCAAGGTGTGATTAATCTCCTCAACAGAGTCATGGGAATATTGAAAATCTTTCTCCGAGACTACCAGGACAGCAATCTTCTCGCAATTTTGCTGGTAAGTCTCAACCCCATCAAGGAATTCAGTCAGGAAATCTTCGCAGCGCTTCTTGAAGCTAGTAGACTTCGAAAAACGAATGTCACCACCACACAGTTCATTCAATAAAGTTTTGAGCTTCTTGGTGACTGCTGGGTTAGCTGCAACCGATAGGTAGCCGCCCTTAGAGAGTTCGAGGAATTCAGTCCATTTGGCCTTGGCTACCTCCTTAGTGATGACGAATGCTGACGAAGGCTCGGATGCAATACTACTGGAGTCAATAGCTTCGGAATGTAAAGCTCTCGCAGCCCTTTCAAGAGTAAGCTTAGCCTTAGCGGAAGAACCAAGTGATTTTCCAGCATCAATTTGATCCATTGGTTGCGACGACGAAGAAATGGTCGATGATGGATCCCCAGAAGACATTAATGCTGGACCGATTGGAGGGATGACTCTCGGTGAGGATCCTTGAACATCGACGATCACAAAATCATGAGTATCTTCACTTTGGACTATCGAAGAAGAAGATCCCAAACCAGGCATTTGACTCGTTGATGGTGACGAAGCAAGTAATGGAACTTCTTCAATACCTGGTGAGAAGAAAGTGCAGTCTAAGCCAGCGAGATTGATAAAGTAAATAAAACTCATAATACGCTGGAAAACGAAGTGGATACCTTGTTCTGGCGCTGGGAGTAACAAAGGAGCCGGTGAAAGCTGAGGTGATGGACCCTGGGTAACAGCATCATTAGTCCCTTCCAATTGGCTTTGACTGTCTACACTGACAATAGCAGTAGACATACTTTCTGGGTAGGACTTTTGTGCATCTGCACCAGCTATAATCGATAAAGAGTTGGTTGGTAGTGGATCTTATCATCTCCATCGCAGAAGAGATATCGGTAAGAACAGAAACTGAACACGCGGATGAAATACTCACCATACTCAGCCAGAGGAGTTGGAGCAGAGACAAGTGATGCGCCATCAAGCAAAGGAGGATGAAAATTATGAAAGTTGCAGTCCTTTTCAGAAGTGGGAACATTAACATCAGAGACGGGATGCTCATCAATGAGAATGAGATAACACCCTCCAAATTTACAAGAAAAATCTATCTCCAAACCTTAGACATGTTTGGCTTCTAAAAATTGATGGAACATGGGCAAAACAACTTGTAAAAAGACCTAGACATAGATTAAACTTTATTTGTAACTTATACTAGATAGAAACATATAGAAACCCTATTTGACTGTAACTTCTTCAACTTTTCTAGCATTTGGATAATCATTTATCCATGAGTTCTCCATGGTTATTTCATCCATAAGTAGGTTGCAGCCATATGTTAAGCAATCATGAAAACGGCAAAGGAAAGAGAATGAAGATGAATCAAGGTCCTTGTAGACCATTTGGATATCTTATTTGGAAAATACTTGCTTGGGGAAGCATGATAAAGAAACAGGAAGACTTAACAGATTTTACTCCTTAACCCAATGGGTTATCTCAATCTCTTGAATTCTGCTTGAATTCATCTCTTGTTTGTCTTTGCAGAGAGTTCACTAAATTGACCCACAAATGTGCGCTACTCAATTATACAAATGGATGGAGTCCATTAGCATTAGCCTCTTACTTGAGCGCTAAGTAAAACATGAGAGAGAGAGAATCTTTCCTAAGCCATTACTCATTGGACACACAGTTTCAAGCAGTCTAAAAACAGAGAAGAGACAGAAACTTTAACAACGATGAGACAACCTTTACCTTTCTTTCAACAGCCATCATAAACTGCAGAGGAAGCGGCTGTCCACGGCCGCCTCCACCTCCTCTTCTGCCGCGACCGCGACGAGGGAGCAGTCGCGGTGTCAAGTCCATCTTCTTCGTCGGAAGCAGTACGGAAAAAGCACTGTGACGCGCCACAGGGAGAGAGAGAGAGAGAGTACGTCTTAGATAGTTGCCGACGGACACTGGTCGATTTTATAGCAAAGAAAACCGAAAAGGCGCGATCACTTCTCTGTTAAGTTTAGCCTAATTTTTGTACTAATTGCTGAAAGAGCACCAAGCTTTGGGATTCTCTCCTTTTTTCTCCTCCAATACTTTTCCTTTGTCAATTAAACCCCTACAGCTATGTTTAGCAAATGCAGGAAAATGTGGCCAAGGAAACTTTTGATGGAAAATGTAGAAACCTTTAAATTTTTTAGGAGATCAAGAGAGAGTAAATATTGAAAATTTTGTGTATTTTCTTTTCAAATTTTCTTTACAAACATAGTACAAGTATCTGTTATGTATCTATATATCTCATCCACGATCCATCCATAATATCCTCGTAAGGGAAGGGGGGTAGCCGGTAAAATGGATCTCTCTAGAGAGATTAGGATGTTCGGAGCAATTCATGTTATCATTAAGGCAACAAACACGCGAATGGTTCAAAATTGACTCCCGATTTGAGGCGGTAATATGAGCATCAATAGATTTGTTTTGATACGTATAACCCATTTTTTATAATTAAAACGTATGTTGGACCTTATATTCCGTCGGACAACCCTTAGTCAAGTCTTGGTCAACTTCACCTAAACTTAACAATTTATGAAAATAAGAGTAAAATTTGAGGTGACAACAAACAATTTGAATGATGGATTTGATAGGAGAAGAAAAAGTAAAGTCAATATTCAACCTAACAATTAAGTACATCATTAATTTTTTGATGAGGTGACATCTGGGTGCCGGTCCCTTTCGTGGGGAAAGCGCCAAAATCTTTTATTGTAATGAAGAGAGAGCGCCAAAATCCTAGATGGCATATTCAGAGACAATGCTTAGAAAAGATAATTTGTTATGACATTTCGTGTAGACACCAACCATGGAAATTACTAGAATGTTGTGGCCAAAGTAGGAGGTTGAAAGGGGTGATGGATTTCCACGATTGACCCCCTAATTTGTGTGATTTTCGCAATTGAATCTCAAATTTTTAATCGGTCTAACTCCAATGGTTAAAAGTAGTCCTTTCTTTGAACTGTTTGGATGGAGAAAGAAGAAAACGAGAAGAAAGAGGATGTTCCTCTCTTCAAGCAAAGCTCTTCACAGTTTCCTTTCTCTTTTCCTTTCTTTTCCCTTGATTTTTCCCCAAGTTTCCTTTTTTTTTTAAGTTCTTATTCCCATTTTTGAATGACTTACAGAAATTTCTAGATAATGCACAGGATTTCATTATTTTTTTCATAACATAAATACCATGTCAACAGGCACAGCAACATAACAGTGTGTTTTTAAGAGGGTATGAACTTGTTTGAACGACTGACGAAATTTAGCTTACTCAAAAAACATATTTTGAAGTTCGAGGACCCAATTGCCAAAACCACACAAGTTATAAAGAGGGGACCTATCATGTATTATCCCAATAATCCAAAGCCAAACTAAAGATCCAGAGGTCTTCTTACCAGAGATCACGAGGTCAATCGGGTTATAAACAAGTGGATAATTGTCTGTTCAAGTACCTTATTTAATCTTGTCACCTCATACCGTCTAATATCAATTGTCGGCCGTTGGATTCAGAACGAAAACAATGTACAATATCGCACCTTAAAAATTTGTCTATCACCATATCTATCATCCATGCTTGTACTACCACGCATAGCTCCAAAGCTAGTCCAGGGTTTACAATGCTATACTTGCTCTAGCACATTGGAGCTCTAAACGAGTGTACTTTCCAGGAATATGACATGAGCTTTTGCCCATTTTAAAAGTAGAAATCGGCATTGGGACCATCTGGATAAGAAAATATAGGTCACTAACAAACTGAGCGATTAGCAATTCTAACAAATCAAATACTATACAGCCATTTAAACAGGCAAACATAATCAAGTCTTATCTTCTTCATGCTCAAAACAGTTCTATATGACAATCTGCGCTTCCTTTCTCTCCTTCTTGTTGGCTGAAAGCAAAATGACTATTTACTCACAAACAGGAATCAGCAAGGGACTGACAATGCCGGTCTGAGCTTGTGGCTGCATCACAAGGATATGAGAATTCGGCTTGACAAAATCTTTCAAGGGCCAACTTCATGAATAAAATGCACAATAAGAAGGGTCAGATAAATTGCTTCAGAAACTCTCCAGCGACCAACCTTCCTCGCGTATTAACTGACATCTTGAGTTCGCTTATCTCTTTATCTATATCCTGCAATTCGCAAGACCCCAATCCGAACATTAAAAGGATTCATAACAAAAGAAAAACCAAACCAGGACCAGGGGTCAAAGACAAAATAAATTGAGCCCGTTGACCCCTAACTAACATCGCTGCATTCAACACATTCTAATTGGTCAATCCTGTGACCTGCATGAGTTGTTCCCTCGTCTATAGTTTATGCTATCAAATTTATTTCCTTTTAATAATTTATTTCATTAGGCTTCTTAAAGATGTACATGAAAGAAAAAGTCTCAAACTCACAGAATAGGGAAAACTCGTAAAACCAGGTAAACTATAAATATGGCTCCACGTAATCTAGCCAGCACCTCCCAAGACACACAGCTGTAAACCAAACTCCAATACACCCATTAGTTTCAAAGAGCAGTCATGCTATGCAAAGGAAAATAGGACCATACGTTTTCATAGTGCCATCTGCCATCTCCACATTTTTTAGGGGAAAAGTAGCGATGCCTTGATTAAAAAATTTAGTGTTTGAGCTACTTCTTTTTTCATGGGAAGAAACCTCTCTTATCAGGTAAACATGTCCAGAGAATTATTTCCAGATTAATTGCCTGGATCATAGAAGGCAGCATTATCTGGTAAATGATCAACTTTAGTCATAAACGATAATAGAAAGGTTGAACTGGCAGGGAAATGGTTTTGTTCTTGAAAAAAATCCAAGTTTTTCAATCAAGAACCTCTGGGAAGGCGAAGAAAAGTAACCAGTGTTAATATGTCCACGAGAAAGCATTGTATTTAGAGTTATTCACCACAAACCGAAGAACCAAGCGTAAATGGGAAAAACTTGCCTCCATAAATTGCACAATGAAATCAATAAGCTTATGCTTCTGCATCTCCTCACAGTGGTAGTTCGTAATGAGGAAGCTTATGTCATAACCCTTCAAGCAAAGGCAGGAAATAGATAAATCCACAATGCTCAGAAGCAACTACAAAGTCTGCTCTCTATAAATGAACACAGTAAGTCGCAAAAGTAAATCTCTCGAGCCGTATTACACGCTGGAAGCCTTCTTAGCCTAAAAAGAAGTACAATATAATTATCCAGGAAGTTTACTTCTACCATCTGAAAAACAGAAAAATCCACAAACAAATTAACATATAAAGATACTGCTACATGAAAAAGTTTGACCGCCTGCTATTGTTTGGCTTTTACCATGCATGTTGCTGAAAGCTCCAGTCATTATCAGCCACTACTGTCTTCTGACCTTAAGTAATTTAAAGATATTGACAAGGAATCTCGTGGTGTGGGTTTATCTTAAACAAATATTTTTTTACTCTTCAAAAGATTCTGGCTTCTGAAATTATAGAATATATCTTCAGTGAGCGACTTTAGTGCTTTTTTGATTTATTGAAGCTATGCAGTTCAACTCTAGTTTCAAAAGAAAGCCTTCTGAAAGAACTATTAAACTCCAACAATTAACAGTGCATGATCCCAAATGAATGCTCCCAAGATTGTTGTACCAAATTAGTCTACCACTGAACCTACCCTATTTGTACTGCTATGTTGGTATGACAAGTGATGTACCCTATTAGGTACCTGTTCCCTGAATCCTGTACCAAAAGCTAAGTGCGTAAGTGTGCTGGAGATCCAGGTCATGATGGTTGTCATACATCAAGTAGACTATCTCTTACTATTCTCTCTAGAACACTAAGTAAACTGAAAAGGATGCACCTAGAAAAAGAATTTAGAGAAATAGCTTGCATTATCAATAAATCAAGACTTAAGCCAAATGCGCGAATTAAGATAAGCCCTAAATCAGATGCAAATGCAACCTTTACATCCAAAAAGGAAAAAATGTCTGAATATGTCTTCAATAGGGCATTCCCAATTTATATTGGGCAATGCATCTTTATAGGGTGTAAAATGTATATCTACCTGTACTGGCTTCCTCCTCAACACCTGAAATGCTTCTGCCCTCATTGACAAAAATCTTAGGAACTTCTTGGTCAATATGTTTTCAAGTTCATCTGCCTGTTTTACCTAGCAAATAGTAAACAAAAACACTTAAAAAAAAGCAAGGAGACCAAACTTAGGTGGCCAAATTCAAATGCAATCATGAGACTGAAGAGGGCACGCTATGCCAATCACCTGGCAGGTACTTAAAGGTTTGGCAAATGCCACATTGAACAATTCAATATAAATGGGAAGCAAGGAAACACATCATTATACTTCAGAATCAGATAATCACGTTACCAGGAAACACATCATTATATTTCAGAATCAGATAGCCATGTTACCAGAACACAATATTTTACACATCACTGTCCAATTCTATCTGATGCTTGCTTTTCTGATTATTCTTGCTATTATTCACATTGCCAAAGTGGGATGCAGATACCATAATTATGTGAACAAATGTAACATCTAATGCATTAACTTTCAGCAGACTCTATCCAAGCTTTCTAAAGCTATGTGTCTGACTATCAAATTTTTCCTCTATATAGTCGAAAGTTTAAAGATGCAGATCCACCTCAAAATCCTTCCTCTGGCAGTCCAGATGCAGGAACCTAAGGGGATTTACCAGCATATTTAATCATTAAGTATGATAATCTACTCTCCATACAAGATCCTTGAGAACATGACTAGTTACTCACGGGCTTCCTATAATGCTTTCTTGGTTATTTTATTATATTTTTGGTCACAAATGATGCAGTTCTTTATCTTTTTTCATTCAATAATGATGAGATCATCTGCATCCACAATAACATACACAATCATCAAGAATTAAATTCGACGAAAATGTATCCAGCACATGGAAAGTGAATGAGACTGGCATACAAAGCCTAATGATGTACGGAAACTGTAGTTTGAGGTACTCATACTCAACTCCAAGTCTTTACTCCACTTGAACAAACATCTTAAACTTCTACATGTAATAAACCGATTTCATGTATGATCCTTCCTACTCAATTAGCCATGATTTAAAGACCATCCACCAGTTCATACTCCAGTTAGTAGTGTCCAAAAGGCACTCAATCATAAACCTGAGTATTTAGCCTGAAAAATAGTGCAAAACATGATTTATATAGAGGTAACACTATGATATAAATTAGGATGCAAAATACATAATAGCATGAAATTTTAGTCAACTTGAATGAAGGTAAACTTTAAGTGGCATGATCAGGATTTTAATACTGTTGCATACAGTTAAAAGGAAAGGGCTTTACATCTTCACTTTTCAAATATAGCAAAAACATGAGCCAACTAAAGTACCTCTGTCGTGACCCGCTAAAAAATAGGTGTCAACAGCCTCAATTCTAGATAAACCCTTAAAGTAGCTTCCAAGTAAGAGAGATGCCAAACAGAGAGTTTAGTGTTACCTTGAGGCTTATTCGTAATGAATTAATAGAAGTTTCTATCAAGCACTTTTCAGCTTCATTTCTGCATATCAAGATCTGAAAAGAGATTCAACACAAAAATTATACAATGACAAAGTACAAGAGTTGCTGAAAATAGATCCTCTCTTTTGCTAGATAAATCCGATAGCCTTTCTAATGACAAAAGGTAAAAGTAAAAAAAAAGAATTACTCAGCTATGATATCTCACTGAAAATGCTTTTACCGGTTTTAGCAGCAGTTCGGGACTAGTCCTGCAAAATAGAAAAATGGTATAAAATCTCCCACGTGAGACATCTACAAGCAACTAGTTAGTATTAAGAGTACATTTGAAGCTCTATAGTAAGGGAGAGTACTTATCATGCTCAATAAATAGAATACATATCCTAAACGCCTGTAGAATCATTCATATCTTCCGATGGAGGTAATAATAACACTCTGTTAGATTGAATAGAGCTATGCACATAAGAATATCATCTATTTAATTCCGAGTTAAGATACTCTAAAAGCTGGCTATTGCCAACCATGGAGACATAGACATACTTTAGCTCAACCTCTGGCTTGTTATGCCTCTCAACTTCTTGACAAGGAAAGTTCTGCAATCAGGAAACAGTCAAGAAATCAGGTGCGCCAAGATAAAAAATCCATCACTGTACAGTTGGTCGAGAAGAAGCTGCAAAGGATTATGTTACAGTTGACGAGGCTTTAGAAAAGGCAACTACAACTAAATCATGCTGCAAGCCATATTGGTAAGAAAACTAATTCGGAATTTCTGAGTGATATTAAGGCTCTGTTTGTTTCGCGAAAAATGAATGGTTTGGAAAACATTTTCCTAAAAATGATCACTTGTAACGCTTGCAATAATTAGCCAGTGAAAAATATTTTCGTTATCCACAAGAATTTACGTCTAAATATTTTTGTAAATAATGAAAATGGTTTCCGTTCATTCATTTATGTATGTGATAAATGTTTTCCAAGCCATTCATCTTCCGCGAAACAAACGGAGAGCCTAAGTATGCAAAAATGTTGAAAGAAAGAAGAGATGGCCCCTGATCTAGCAAAAGTAGAGAGCTTTTAGGAAACCCAAATCGACGGGTCCGTAATCAAACATCTCCGTGGGAGCTTGTGACGTTAGTCTCAACCAAAACGCGACGATGGGTAACGAGAGTGTGCACTACCTGGAGCTCACACATACTTTATCCATTTGCATCAAGAGCGAAAGCTATTTGGATTTACGATAATGCGACTCGAACGTTCATTGCCCGCATTAAACCGCAACTTTCCGCCATTACAACTACTTAAAACTGGAGAAAAATCCTTCACAACACCACAGAGGCGAGAAAAGCCTACTGCTTCAACCCTAGTTCCAAAAACGTGTCGGGACTGTGCAAATTCTGGTTACCTGCAGGCACATGGCCGCCTCGAGAGTGTTCCGGATGCAAGTCAAGTACAGTCGCAGCGAGTTGGCCTGCCAAAAGAGCACGCACGCCAGCGAAACAAGAATCAATCAATCAAACCGATCGACGATCGCAAAACCATTTCGAACGATCTAAAAGCTCCCAGGCAACTCCATTCCGCACGCACACAAAGCGGCGATCTCGTCGCGATCGTTTCCCCCCGGGAACACCCCAAGAAGATCGACAACAAACAACAGCTCGGAAGCCCTAGGTGATCGACGAGGGAATGCCGGAATCGAAGCTGCTGAGGGCTCACCATTTTCGCCGCGGATTCGAAGCTGCTGCTGCTCTCCGATCCCTGAGAATCTTCGAGCTCTTCCCGACGCCTATTCGATTTTGCGTTCGTTGCTGCTTTCTGCGGTGAGAGAGGCTCGAGGCGGGGCTTTGACCTTGACGTCGTCGTTTTGATGCTTTATTGGTATAAAAGCTTTGGAAGTTTATTATGGTTAACATCAAATCACGTGACTATTTGGATGTGATAAGACCCGTCGTACTAAACTAGATAATCACCGATGAGAAAAAGAGGTTCTTTGTCATTGCCGCTTGCGAACAGTGTTGTGGTGACCGCCGGGTGGCGCGGTTGTGCTACCCCGGCGACTATTGGGTGCTCGCCTTAGGTGGCGCAATCCCGAGTTAGATCTATCTTGCATAGGGTCGGAAGACCCCTATGTGGGCTCGCTTAGATCGACCGATCCCGACTTAGTGACATTAGGGTGGCACGACACCGCTTCCACCATACGCTCACTCACTCGCTCTCCCTCAGGGCAATTTGGTTTTTTTGTCAATCTAGGAACGTGGAGGTACAAAAATGGTAATAAAATGACATTCAAGATATGTTTCTGGTATTTCTGGTATTTTTTTGGTACTTTTCTTAGGAGTTATTTTGCAATGGAATTCAATGCAACGTGAAAATGCAAAGGTCCAAAATCGAAAACGTGCACTGGATATTTCCTTCTTTGCTTTTTGAGGGCAGCGACCTATATTGGTGCAGCTCGAAGGCCAAAAATGAGCAGCAACCCCAACACAAGAATGAATGCCGTGAGCAGCTGATTCAGCTGCAAAAAGAAACAGATGACATTGGCTCGTACATAGAGAGAGAGCTAAATTAACTTGAGGCAAAGAGAAGATTAGATACAAGTTCATAAAGAGAAAAAGAATGAAATTGGCTAAGCATCTCCGCTTGGCCAATGACAATAGCATTTACATCCCCGAACATAGAAGCATCGATCGACGAGGAAACAAAAGGGAAAAGAAAGAGAGAGAAAGCAGAAGGAAAGCAAGGGCTGCTGTATCAACTTGATCCTCGGACGCGCAATTTGTTGGCCACGTACAGCAGATGACTGATGTTTGTGGGAGGGTAGTTCTGGAGCAGCCGAAGATTGGAAGTGAAATCACCAGCTAGAAGGCGCCTCCGAACAAGAATCAGCATAGCGCAACATACTCGGAGCAAAGTTTCCTGAAATGCAACAGAAATTACATTACCAGGCTATCAATGGCCAAGAAGTAGTCACTGAAAATTCATAAACCTGACATGATAAGTGCAGCTGTTTCACCCAATTTCAGATAAACCTCCTAAATCAAATGAGAACATTAGGCAAATCTCAAAATTTGAGAAGGATCATACAGAATTGTTCGGGAAGAGTGTTGTTAAATTTAAATGGATTGCATTCAGCTCATTAACATGCCAAGCCTCAGTACCTTACAGAATTTAATTCACATACATCTCATTCTTCATGCTTATTTGATTACGAGTCGGGACCAACTTCTACCAATTTCTAGCCTCTGATTCAACTTTCAACTAATGGTTGACTGGAGTATCTTTTTTTGCAAACCTTCAGACAGAGAAAATCAATGGATGACACATGGTGAAATTGTAAAATTATTGTTACAGCAGATTAAGTCAATCCAATAATTGTAATTATATAGGCAAATTATCAGTGGTGAAAGTGCTCCTATAGAAAATTACCATGTTGCTCCTATGGAAAATTACCATGTGTCGATAACCAAGCTCTTCAGGAGCCAATAGTCAAATATCGACGATACTCCTTGAAAATGTATGAAATAGTCTAAACACAGATTTGATTTCAATGTAATGCCTTGGCATGTGAAAGTGTGCAAATCTTGGTACAAAGGAAAATTATGGCAAAAAATGCCTAAATTCTCGAGAAAAACAGGATGCTTTTGTCACCACTACAACAAGGATATAATGAGCATAACACTGCCATAACCATGAGATAGCAATCTCCTCCTACAAACCGTCTCTCTAGTAATTACCATCGCCCAAAGTTGCCATCACCTTTAGCACCCCGCTATCAATACCCTCCCACCATCTCAACCCGAACCAATGCCATGGCCTAATTAACATCACTGCAACAGCATCACCTTCGCCTCAACAATTTTATCATCTTCCTCCATTACATGACAACCTCCACCACCATGCATCATTCATAAAACACATCTACCAACACAACCTCGATTCTCAATGTTACTGTCATGCAGACCAGTCTTTCCCAATTTAACATGACAGGGCTGCCGTTCCACAACTAGCCATTATTCTATATTACCTGTGACAAAAGTTTAAAAGGGACAAAGTCAACATAAATCCTCCTAAGCATTTTGGCCATTGGGCAATTAAGTCCTGAACATTCTACTTTTTGGTCAAGTGAAGTCCTAAACATTTTGAGATAGATGCATAATTTTGGTTTCTCATGGAATCAAGCAGCATTTCAACCATAATCAAGGAATAAAACACATGGGTTTGGTCATTCATAGAGTGGCAAGCTTGATTTTGAGCACCAATTGAAAAAAAAAATGAGATCTACGACGGCAAGAAAAAAAAAAGTTCAAGATTTTTCCTCCATCTACATTAACTTAGATTTTTGTTTTTCAATTGATTCACGGAATAAAATTTGCCACTCAATTATCTACAGAACTTGTGTTGTACTCCTCCTTTCTGGTAAAAATCGTACTTGATTTTGTGAAGAACTGAAAAGGTGTTGTTTATCGATGGCCAAATGTCACTGCCAAAGAGATTAAGCTTGACTTGCACTTTTATACGCTTTAGAATCAATTGACCAAAGTAGAGTGTTGAAGACTCATTCAACGGTCTATAAATAAGTTTATCACATCCTATTGCACCTTTCTCAAATTAAAATACCCAATTCTCATCTCAACTCTTGCCCTCGATCTTTGGTCGTCCAACATATCACCGCAACCACCATTACATCACCACCATTATATCACATCATCACAACTTGTCTTCTGTCCTGACCACAACCTCCAACAACCAACTATCACTACTGCCAACACTCCCTACCACCTACTCCTCAACCTAGTGACGGTGGAAGAACCCATTTCTTCGCAGATTCCTTTTTTCTAGCAGGGAATAATTGCCTAAAGTGAGGCTGTCATAAAGGTCGAGCAGCTTTCCTCCAATCACGCATACAACTTCTGTATGGCTAAAAAAAATCAGTGAACAAAATTATTAATCTCCCACAATTGTGCCTCGGATAGAAGTGGCAGTGGGGCAAATGCTTGTAAGTTGCAGCTTCTTTCTTCATTACATTCTTCTATTGTTTTCCCCACAAATAATGGAGGAAGGGCACCTTAGGTAGATGAATCCACCTAATCAATGCTAGTCTGACTTCATTTCCCTTGCATTAGATACTAAAAATTCTCTTGTACCCCGAACTAATCCCAACTGTAGTTAATTTGACACTCTTACATAAAAAGGAAATTACAGATTGTACTCTGGCCCTCACAGCTCTAGCAGATGAAGCACTCTTGGGGAATAAAAAACTGAGCCTAATGTTCAGTGAAGACTTTGGTAAGCATGAATTACTGTCATGTTATATCTCAGGTTCTCTCATCTATCTTAACTCTGCTCAATTGAACCAGCATCTCGTGAAGTCAGGAAGACATGATTTCACATAACTCCACCAAATACCTTTGGCAAATTTACTCTAAAAGAAAAGTTCCTACCTGAGGACCATCAGGGTCACTTAGAAGTGTGTCCCAAATCTGAAGGCTGTCTGCAAAATTAAACTCCTGGGTCAAGAGGAGAGTAATCCATCGGAACGCATAAAACTGGGGATTGACCTGACATTGAAGACAACGAGGGATTAGAAAACAAAAAAAAAAAAACTGAACCTCTTGTACAAAAGGAAACCACATTATAGAAGCATCTGGCAAAGCCTTTAAAAGTTTAAAGCGACCCATAGTAGGGTTGTCCAAATAACCATTTGCACACTGAAAGGAAACTAACAAGGATATATTGCAACTTAAAACCCTATCCAACATATACAACCAGAGAAAGATCTTTATTATAAGCACATTGTAGCTAATAGCACATATTCTCAATATTCCCTATCCAAGTTTCGTACTTGTCCTTTTTCAGAATAAAATATATCCAAGCTTCATTATATTCCATCTTCAATGAAAAATAGCTTGCTCTTGGGGTTGGAACCACAGTTAGAAATGTTCATGTAAAAGCTCCTATATCATCTGATGTTACACAAAAGCACTTGGGATCCTATCAGCTTCGGATGCTGGAGGATTGTTAGTCCATAGAATAAGCTGCTGGAAATGAATCTTACCTCCACAAAATTATATCTTTTCCGTTTCAAGGACATCTATAATTCATTTGTAAATATAAAAAATACAACTTCATTTAGGATGCACAATGTAAGAGAAAAAGAGAGACAATAGATACATTATTTTGGTCGGGGGAGAGATTGTACTATAAATATAGAAAGCTATCAGATACGCATTTAAAATTGACTTCAGTGAAAACAAAAATGACATCAGGGCCATACAACACTAATATACTCACGAGTAGGGTATTGCCCTGCCTGACTGCAGTTTCACTCTTTCAGTCAAGTAAAATATTTAGTAGACAACTAATATCCAGTCAGGAGGCCGAGAATAAAAGTATTCGACCAATAAATGCTGAGTATGCAAGTGCACACACAAACTTACTTTGGTTGTAATCTCAAGATGACGCCAAAGCTCTTCATCATACTCCTTCAAAAGCTGCGACAACCTGGATATTGTTGACCGGATTCCCACAACACTGTTGTCCAATTGTTGACAAAAGTTATCCCGAAATCCACTCAACAACTCAACAAAGCAAAAGAAAGCATCCGCTTCAGCAGAAGCCTGTGTGATCCAAGAATAAAAAATAGCAATCAGGACATAAAAATGCTAATGGATCCATATACAAGAGATTCTTCATGCAGTTGCAGTCACATAAATATATAAGAGAAAAGAATCATAGATATAAAGATTTAGTGCAAGATGCATCACTCCCCAGTTAGCATAGCTAGGTTTCATGCCTACCTAAGTAGAAAATATATGGTAATCACAGCTTCAACTAGGTGATACTTACATTACCAATTACTGAAAGAACTGCGATACGAAGTAATTTTCCATCCCAGAAAAAAATGTCAAAACGATCTCAGTTATTTAATATTTAATACAAACAAGATCAAGGCAGCATAATCGAAAAAAAAAATATATCAAGGTATTCCCTTTGATTCACTCTTTCCGAGTTTGTATAAGCAAAATAACTTTTTACTGCACAAAAATCCTCATGCAACAGATACAAGAATTAGCCAGTTCCTACTCAAACTAGATATAGAAAAGCACCATGCCCACAAAACAGAAAGGAAAGACTGCCCATGGATTTATAGACGACCTAAGATATAACTTCATATAATTCTAATCAGTGTTGTTAAATCAAGATTCTGGTTGAGAATCTTAGAACTTATTTTCTGAATCGTCTATTAAAAGGAATCATGGATCGTAAGATTCAGTAAAAAGTGGTAAAAAAATACTCCAACGAACAAGTTTCTTACTAAAATTAAGCTACTCAGTGCCAAAAACACATAAAAATACCCAAAAATGACACTGCTCCATTGTCTATACCCAATCTAACTTCTAACTTCTGAATATTATAAAGGTGCAAAATGAAAAAGGCCTAAACACTTGCAAGAAAAAAAAACACTGTCAAAAGCACTTAAAAACCTCTACATACACAAAAAACAAATTCAAAATAGTCTACCGAAGCCAGCTAAAGAGAGGAGACTAATCTTAAATACTCATGCTATGACTGTTGCGCAAGCGTGCGATTTAAACAAGCTAAACAGGAGGGTCAAAGGCCTGAGTCTGTGAGTCAAAGGAGGTGCGATGGCCGGCAATCATTGGCATTGTCGCCAGAGGTGCAACGGTTGGTGTCATAGCCAGTGACAGCTGGTCAATAACTGACGAGAAGCAGTTTAGCAGCTTTCCAAGTTCCTTCGTTAGCCTGAGGGCTGAGAAAACCAAGGTCTTCTAGCATGCTTCCACATTTTTTTTCTTTTTTTTTTCCCTTTTCCTTTTTTTAACAATTGTTCTTTTCAATTTTCGGCCCATTTTCTCTGTATGCCCCAATACTTTTGAGCTCAACCACTATGATAAAGCCCAACAACGCAAAGTGTGGTTGTTCTCCTAAACCATAGAGAATTGTAGAATGTATGATTTGTACCCAATCGTACAATTCACTAACGATTCAAGAGTGCAAGATGAGTCGTTCGATGGGTGAACCGAACTGAATCATGCAATTCGAATCATGAATCGGATGATTTTTACAACACTGATTCTAATCAATAACAACATATACCAGCAAACCACAAAACCTCCTTGAATAAGGCTACCCAGTCAAGACGTTAAATCAATGGACAGCTAAAGCATTGTAAAACATGGCTAAAAGAGATGCAAAAATACATACCGCATTCTCTTCATCAGGATCATTTCTGAACACATAAAATAGAGGGGCCACAATTTCATTCATCCCTTGGACATATCTTACGCCAGGATTGAGCTTTGCATATACAATTAAAATTGTCTTCAAAGCTTCCTTTTGAGACGTGGAAGACAATAAAGCCAGTCAATTATCCTCTTTTTCCATTTATAACTTGAGTCAATGACAAAAACAAACCTGATTAGATTCTGCATATGACGAGTCCCCACAGAAAAAGTGCATGTCTGGATGAGTCCGTTTCACATCTCTGTCAATCTGTTCAATGATCTCTGTATCCTACAAAGTTGAAGTATGCCTTTTTCTCATAATTGTATACATGTTACTTAAAAGGTAGCATGAAAGTTCACTGGCATAAAGGATTTGAATCATTAGCTAAAGCAGAAAGATGATCTATCTTCTCCCATTGTGGTCTTTACAAACCCAGGTAACTCAGCAACAGCAACAGCAGATTATTCACATTATTACTGTCTTGGGACATCACATTCTTTCTCTGGCTATGCATATGCATATAGATAGTTTTGACACTGATTGTTTAATACAGAGATAACAATTCTTTTTTTGGTTTCTTCAGCTCTCTTGTAATGGGTTTGTCCCCCCTTGGTGCCCTATAGTTCATTTATTTTTACCTATCCAAACATACAGTAACAACAATTATCCACATCATGAACCAGAACTAAGGAATTTCAACTATCAAGGATTCCGAGCTTCAGATATATCATATATGTCTTACAATGCAGATGAGATCCTCAAATCAGTATAAGGCAGAAGTCAGGCTAGTTAATTTCACAATGACTAAACTAATTCTTGTTGAGTTGATAACTGTGAGGTGCTCATACAGACCAGCCACCAAAGAGGACCTAACCTTCCACAAGAAAAGGATGACCTACTGTGTAAGCAACATTAAATCAGTTAAGTTGGAAATGACTTTCATGTAGAACTCACCCAATTACCAATTCATACATCATAAGAGCAGCCCATTACTTGCCTCAAGTGTAGCATATCTTCACAGCTCAAGAGGCATCAACATGAAACAGCCGCACTTGCACATTATTATAAAGCAAGTCATGCTATAATCTGATGCAGCCATTTACTTCCCCACAGCCAGAAACCCCTAAGCCCACTCACCAGAAACCTGGGTCTGGGTGTATCACAACCCATCAAGAACTGTTACAAAGAGTTCTAGCTTAACATACTTAATGAACCGGTCTAAGCCCTCCCAATTTACTGTCATTTGCAAGACACCGTGCCACTAACAAGGCAATCTTATGCCTTGACCCATCATGCTAACCCTTAAAATCCTCCATCAAATGGTGATTAGTTAGCCTTCCCTAATTTAGCTGAGAGAACATTATCATATAGTCCTCGTTCCTACTTCCATCTTAGTATGTTTGGTGAGTTGAACTAGGAGAACCTACTCTGAGCTTATCTCATGATGGAGAAAGATGGCAACAAACTAACAAGGATAGCAATAAACTACCAATTCAGTCTCACATGGAACAATGGTCACCTCAAGAATTTGCAATCTATATAACCTCGACTATCTGAAGCAAAAGATCAGAGTAACCACTGGTCCACCTGAAGGAGTACCATCCTGATCTCAAGGCGATGTGTATTTCACTTGTGCAGCAGGCCCCCCTTAATCTAACTAAATCTACCCTTGGCTTTGTCAATAACTGCAAACTGCCACAGATCTAAAAGTTTATGCCATTTAATAATCGTATTTTCTGCTTCATACAAATTTTACTAAGATCATGTTATGTTCTAATCCTTTTTTCATCCCAACAGCACAATTTTACAATCAGATTAATCATGTCAGTTTTTTTTAATAGTTAGGTAATTCATTTAAAGGGCATCAAGGGGATGCCAAACCATTCATGAAATCATGTACGCTGATCATCAAAGAAAAGAGCAAACAAGTCAAGCATCCGCTTATTACAAAGTACACGTGAAAGAAGTAAAAAGAGGGGGTAAGGGTCAAAGCAAACACAAACTAAATGAATGATTACATTTCATACCTGAAAGAACTTATTCCATATACTGGTATTTCCAAGACTCAATGGATGCTCTCCGTGAGTTATATCTGATCTTGAGAGCATCCCACTGGTGTCTGACCGTAACTCACTGTCACAAGTTGTGCAGTCTTCCAACCTCCTTGTGATTTCTGACTGACCAGGATGGAAAAGGTCAGATTCCTCTTTCAAAGAGCAAAGGTTGAAAACCACAAAGAAACAAAATCAGGACAGAAAAGTATAGCTTCATCATGCAGCAATCTCCTGACAACAATCAGCAATTGATGATAGGTTAAAGGCTATCTTTTGAGGTCTCCATGTTTGACACCAAGGCACAGGAGTTCTTTTTCGAAACTACCTCAATAACTATAATTCGGTGGCTACTGTACAATCACCACTATCATCACTAAAGAAGTCACCACTACATTGGCGCCATCATCGGCCACCACTATGGATTTCTCAACAACTATCAGAGGATTCAAAGCATCAATGACTGATTGACCATCATCGCCACTATACTGTCCATAGTAACCATCACCGAACATAATGACGGCATAACCACTGTTGATTAGACAGCCACCAGCACTACTACCTCTAATGAGATGACAACTACTGTTCCAAAGAAAATCTTTCATAAATGAAAACCATTTTCATGAATTGAATGGACCCTTACAGAAATTAGGCAATGAAACCAGACAGAGATAGCCGATTGTCAACTCGAAATGATATATGCCCCAGAAGAAAAGGATTTGAATAGAAAAGGGAAGTTAAGTTAAAAAAATACATGAGTTGTCCTTCCTTCAAGATATCACTACAACAAACAGAAAGACAAACCGACTGTTTCTAACCTCTGACATTTCAGTCAAGCATGCAGTGTTCTGATCAGGAAAGTGAAGAGAAGTGGGAAGGTAAAATTACAGAACAAAGTGTTTCCTCTGCTTGGCTTGTAAGAAGTACTTCCTCTGTTTGTTATCGAAACAAGAAGAAATTTGACGGAAACTGGGGACACAATTATCTCGGAGCCCATCTCATTTCCAACCAAGAACGGGAGAAAATGGAAGAAAATTATTCCGTCAGAACACTTTGCTATTACCATTCTCGCTTTCTCTTAAGTGGTGCGTGAAGTAAATCCAAAGGTTATCTTGACAAAAGAGAAGGGTTTAATTGGTGCGTCACCTGCTCAATCGGGGACTACATAAGAAGGGCAATGACCTGCCTAATTAGTATGAAAAATTGTCAACATGAGCTTAGGAGATTCTCTTGAGGAAGTACGAAGTTCTACTTCTAGTGGCAGCATGGTCTCAGGATCTCAACATAATCAGAGATAAAAGGGAACAATCTTGTCTTATGTCAATTGTTTTCTTTAGGCCAAGACTAGTCCAATCCTAATTCCTTCCATTGGCATGACCTTAATCTGAGAGTTGTGAGTTACGATTTCCCTTCCATGTCTCAGATGTGATTTCACTCTGGTATATCCCTAAGAACAAGCAGCCTATAATAGTCAACTAGCTTGTACTGGGAAAGAGAGAATATATAAAGAACTCGCGCTCAACTAACCAAGCAAAGAACGTTCTAATACATTATCTATATTTTCTTTTCATGACTATGCATTGTATATGCATCCTATCAGGGACGGGAAATTAAATTTATCAACATCTTCTTTACCTCTAATTGCCTCTCTTCTTTTTCCCTACGATATGCATCCTATCAGCGGGGGTGATAGGGGAACCTTATTCTTGCAAGCAAATGGAATGCAAAATGTGGAAAAACAACAACGCTATAGACTATCCATTTGCTTACAGGATTCATTAAGAGCTCTCCCTTAAAATTCTTGTACTGAGATCTTTTCTTTGCCAGCTCAGAAGACCAAAGCCCACGATCAGCCGGCAGATATCCCAGCAAAAGCTGTTGCACCAGAACTAGTCCATTAAACCCAGTCTCATAGATTGTAAAGCACTTATAATGCAGAAACACTCGTCTAAAAAAACTTGCAAATAAAAGTGGGGAAGATTAACCCAAAATGAGGGTAAGAATGCAATTTGCTTAATTCAGTAAGGTCTTCAAATATCATAAAATAAGAATCTACACTGTACTTCATCAAAACCAGAACGAACAACATACAAACGAAGAGTAGAGCATTTTCCTATCCAAGACCACAATTTTCCTCAGAAAATAAAGGAGGAAAAGCAGACTGAAGGAAGTAGCGCACGATACCTTCCACACAGTGGAACGAATTCCCGGACCGTCCGGTATGCCCTGAGAGGCAATCTTCCTCAACTCCCGCATATCTACAACCTTTCTCGACAGCTGCATATCACCAAACACAGCCAGGAAACACATCAACTTCCCTAAACAACCCATTTCGCCGCAGAGGAAGAGGACAAGACAGACTCGCTCACCTCGGCCAAGAGCTGCGACTGTCTGGACATCTCCTCCGCCGACGGACGACCGGGTTCCCGGCTCTCGCCGCCGTCCCCATCCCTCGGCTCCTCAACCTCGGGCTCCGGCGGCGACGGAGGCGGAGGCTGCTCCCGCCTGGCGGCCGACGGGGGCGGCACGGGCACCGGCGGCCGGGTCAGCGGCTCGGCGGGGGCCGCGAGGGGATCGGGCGCGGGGCGCTGGGGGCGATCGTCGGCGGGCGGCGGCGGGGCCGAGATCCAAAGCGAGCTGTTGAGCCAATCGGGGACCTTCTTCTTGTTCATCGCCGCTTGATGCGCGTCCATCGCGCCCTCATGCGGGGCTAAACGCGAACGGCGGCGGCGGCGGCGACGGGGGGAAGAGATCTGGAGCCGGAGCCGGAGCTTCCGCTAGGGGCTCGCCGGAGGCGATGATCGGAGCGTCGCCGGAAGCATCGTCCTGCGGCGGGGAGCGAAGGGCCGGAGCAGTATCGAGGACGGGAACGCGAGAGAGAGAGAGACAGAGGGGACGGTGGAAATGTGGGAAGAGAGAGAGAGCAGTTGGAGGAGGAGGAGGAGGAGGTCACGTGATCTGCTCGTGCTGATGACCTGCCTTCGGGCCGGCGATGTTTTTTCTCTTTTTTTGTTCATTTCTATTATTATCTCGGACTTCTTTTTATAATTCGATTTTTGAATTATTTCTAAATATCTAATCTAGTCTTTAAATCTTTAAGGAAAAATTTCAAGTAAGAGTCTGAAGTGCTCTCATTTCCTTAAATAAGAATCTAAAGTAATTCTTGTTTCAAATAAAGGCCTGAAATGGTTTATTAGTCTCAAATAAGGACTTTTGGTCGGCCGGTGACTATTCCGACGTCGGAAAAGGGGTATTTTAGTAAAAAAAATTTAAATATACTTTTTTACTTTCTTTTATTTTCCTTTTTCTTTTCTTTTCTTTTCCTCTCTTTTTTTTTCTTTTTCCTTTTTTCTTTTTCTCTCTTCCCTCTTGTGGCCATCGCCGGTGACCTCCGCCAGCCTCAGGCAAGGGCCACCCTCACCGACGTCAGGCGACGGCTACCCTCGCCTAGGCTGCAAGGGTTGCCCTCACCAGCAATCGGCGGAGGAAAGAGGGAAAAGAAAAAAAAAGAAAAGGAAAAGGAAAAGAAAAAACGGAAAAACGAAAAAGGGAAAAAAAATTCAAAAAAAAGGTAAATGACAAAAATGCCATTTAGCCAGCAAGGTCAGGACCTTATTTAAGACTAATAAATCACTTAGAACCCTTATTTGAGACAATGTTCACTTCAGGCCCTTATTTGAGAAAACGATGGCACTTCATGCCTTCATTTGAGACAAGGTCCACTTTAGGGCCTTATTTGAGAAAATAAAGGCAATTTAGGCTTTTATTTGGAATTTTTTCAATCTTTAATTTAGTCCATCGAATATCCATAATGAAGTCAAATCAGTCATTCGACATTATTTACCAATTTTTTCATAATTACACTATTGCCCGAATTTTAGAACATCTTTTCATTTCAATCAATTTCCTTAATCATTAAAAAATATATGATATCTTTTTATTAATTTTTTGATGTTTAGCCTTATAAAATATTATTATTGTTCAATTTTAATATATTTTAGTTTATGATTTCTATAATAGCAAAAATATAAAATTATTTGAAGTTATATCATATTCATATTCTTTTGTTTTAAAAGTAAGTGTTTGCATGATATAATGATATTGATTTCTCTTGTTTATATTAATCTTGGTCTTATTTTCAATATTTTAGATCGATAAAATTGTGGAAAACGACAAAAATAGTCCATGAACTTTGACTCAATATGCGATGTGGTATTTAGACTTTTAAGTTGTTCAATGTAGTCCTTAAACTATTGGAAAATGTTTAATGTAGTCTTTCCATCTGCTCCAAATAACGAAAGAGATTTTATTTGACGGCGTGAATTATTATATGTTAAGTTGGATTTTAAAAAATGATGAGTCAATATCTCCATTTTTTTATCCATCTACTTTAAAAAAGGAAAAAAAATTAAGGATCAATATGTCCATTGTTATTTAATGATGCGAATCATTATATCATGAATTGAAACGAATATTTCAGGGGATTAATCCATGTGTATTTGTCCGCTATTCGAACTTAAAATATTGAAAGCCACATTAGTAGAATTCTATTTAACTTGAATTAATGAAAGTATGACAATGAATATTTTCATATAGTTTAGGGCTTAATTGTACATTTATCAATTTAAAGGTTTATGACTGAATTGGTAAATTGCAGTTTTATGACTTTTTGGACAATTTTCTTATCACTTTCCCATAAAATGGTCAAGTTTTGTGTTTTCTTAATTAAATTCAGTTAAATGCGTAAATCGGGAAATTAAAACAGTAAGAATATCAACTCGATACCACTCCAAATGAGGTTCGTAGAGATCATAAGTTAAAATATATTTAAATGAACTATCATAGTAATAAAAAGATAGCCATGTTCTTTTCATTTAGAAGATGGATTGAAACAAAAAAAAATTATAAAATTCGGATGATAGTGTAATTATTAAAAAAAATTATTTTTCTACGAGAACTTGAGAGACTAAATTGAACATTTAGGAATTGTTCAATAGCCATATTGAACAAATTAAAAGTTCAAAGATTACATTAGGCCAAAGTTTATGAATTATTTATGTTTTTTTTTTGTCTATCCTACTTTAACTCCCAACTTACTCTCAGACTTTTATCTTGCTTCTTGTAGGGCATGGGAGTTGAAACTCATATTTGAAACTACACGTCCCCACTCCTAACTCCCCTGAGAAGGTGGGGATTCGAACTCTGCACCTCCCCCTTCCAAAGTAGGAAGGGTAGCTACTTGAGCAAACTCCAGTGGTTATGGATTATTTATGTTATTTTGCCTATCTTTTCATCGCTGCTTCTGCATTTTCACTTCTAATCCATATAACTTTATCTAACCACAACTTCATGCTTATGCTTTTCTCCTATCTACAATTTCAAGTTCTCATTTCGAATTTCCATTTTTATTAGAGCAAAATTACTAAATTGGCAACTTCTATCCTGCCATTGCCCGTTAGAGGGATTTTCATTGAAGGCATAAATGATGACAGTCTAATCAAAATAACCAACCGCTTGTCAAATTACAAATTGAGAAAACTTGTTCTTATATATGAGAAATTACTAGCTAATGTGAAAAAAACTTACTTGTTATGGAATTTTCCATATTTATATGAAAAAATGAGAATTTTAGTCACTAAAAGTTTAGATCAACTAAAATTAACTTTAACTGTTGGAAGGTTACTAAAACGAGTACGAGGCCATTAAAGATAGAAAGGATAGAACTTATTTTTGTTATAGATAAAATTGATTATAAATATCCGGAAATTATTTGGAGCAATATATTGATAAAGTTACCATAAAAGTGGCGAAACTCGGAATAAAGGTGAGAACTTACTGTCTTAATCATGAAATTGACTAGCCATTATGAGCAACGAACTTCATTTAGTACTTTTTCACAACGCAAAATTAATTTGATCAAATATGGCGAATAACAGTAAAGTCTATGGTTCACCTTTAAAATTATACTAAATGGGTGATAGAAATAATTGGACATAAGGATATAGGCCTCCAAAGTTTCAGGACTTTCGAGTTTGATTCCGATTTTATGATAAACCGTTCGATCAAAATAACTCAAAGTTTCCATAATATAACGACCACAACTTATATGAATATCATACAAAAATAAAACCATTTTACGAACATGCCATCTTTAATCCTTTTGGGGTTTTAAACATGGAACGCACACTCAAAATATATGGGATAATTACCAAAAAAATAACCTAAACTTATTGTACGGATGAATATTCAGTCCTAAACTTCTAAAGTTTTTCAAACCTTTTAATCATTTGTCAATATAGTCTTTTCGGCTAATATTGGCCGGAAATCATTGACGTGGATGACAATCATCCTACGTAGCAAACTAGTGCTCAAAGTTAACATGGATAGTTTTTGCAATTTTTTAAAAAATATTATGGATTATATATATTTTATATTTTGCTTTTCTTTTTCATTCTTTTTTCACCATTAAAAATGAAAATAAAAGAGGAAAAAATAAATTATTGAAAAATTAAGAATTTTTTAAAAAAAATGTAAAATTTGTCTATATTAGCGACGGCCGTGTCACGTAAGACGGTCGGCATCCACATTAGTGATTTCTAACCAAAATTGATCGGAAAGACTACATTGACAAATCATCAAAATTATATAACTAAATTGACCAAATTAAAAGGTTTAAAACTAAATTGACATCCATACAGCAGGTTTAAGACTTTTTCAGTAATTTATCCGAAATATTTTAATATTGCATTTAGTATATATAAAATGAAATACCGAAGACAATCGACATTCCCCGATGCCAATGACGGGTTTTGCGGAATCGTACCTCAAGTCTCAAGAACCGAGATTCCTCCGCATGATGCTTGTGTATCCACGCCGATCGAAAGTGTAATCATGCGCTCGAACTAACAACCCGTACGTTCAAAGCCATAAATGCACCTCGATCTCGCAGGACGCTTTGCTTGCAATTTTGTCCTGAGAATTATTTCCCACTTTCCTGTCAACAAAGAGAGTGGGTTCGTCGAAGACCCAAAGATGGCCGAAGATGGTCGTATTTCGACCTTACATATGATGGACAGATCTCTGTTCGCAACACTACATGGTACATTTCAAAAAAGTTGTCTATAAGTCGATTTATAGCTTCGAATCGACTTTCGTGAAATCTTACGGGCTCGAGACGGTCTTCAAAATGTTAATAAGATGATCTTGTAGCCGACTCTTCGGCAAGTCCAATACCGATAGGGCTCAAAAGGGAGGGGGATTCAAATTGCATTTGGTTCAAGATATTTTCCGATTAGGTGAACTAGGAACGAGAATTCGTTGCCACTAGCTTAAACAATGTCGTTTCGATGTGTCAGAGGTGTCCTCGTAGCGTGTACACCTCTCTCTCTCTCTCTCTCTATCGTCTATTCTTCTTCTTTTCTTAAAACAGTAACAAAATAATAAATATGCTCAGTGATTAACCACTTAGTTTATTTAAAGATCTTGGAGGAACATATGCAACATTTGAGGGTGCAGTACAACATATGCCTCGGATCATATAGAAGGTATGGCATTTCCATCGATTCGTAAAAGGTTAGTGGCAGTAATTCAATGGAGTCGTCCAACTAAAAACTTTCTTGTGTTAGCTGACTTCCACAAAAGATGTGTGGATTTTCCAAGAATTGCTATTCTACTTGCTAGCTTTAGTTAAAAAGGAGTCAAATTGGAAGGGTTGGCTAGTGATTGCTCATGTATTCATGATCTATCATGATACATTTAGCAAAGGTTTAGGTTATGTACTTACATAGAATGACAAAATTAAACTCTATACCTCTAGACAGCCGAAACACATGAGAACCAATGTCCCAAACACGAGTTGAAACGATCGGGCCAGAAATTATGGCGTCGTCGCTTATGTAGCGTGAGTTTCTTCACATATTTGATTGTCGATGCATACCTCATTTACCTGCATCAACGGCTGAGAATTGAATAAAACGCCAACAAAAGCACCAATGTCCCCTGCACCGGGTCAAGGTAAAGAGTGCAGGATTCAAATTGAAGCTTGCCCATAAGCGCTCAAATCGAATATCAAAAAGAGATAATAAGGAGATGCATTTGCTCTTTAGACTGAACGAGGACTCCATCAAGTGGTTGGTTTTAAAGTCGAACAAGTCCCATCTCAGTTCCTCCACCCACCACTACAACATGTGTGCGTCTGTCTTGAGAAGTAAAACAAAGTAACTTATGCAGGTCCGATTGGAGTATGGTTGAGAGATCTACCCTGTCTTTGCTTACGGAATGAACAAATAAGTTCCCATGCCATTCTCGAAACGGTACAAATCCGGTCGAACTCCCCCAAACCATACAATAATTCAGGCAAGTTAGCACCATCTTATGAACTCTGACAAGTTTCTTTTTAAATCGAAAGTTCCGACGATTCTACAAATTGAGGAACTTAACTTCGACTCAGAGAATCCCAAAGAAGGGATTCTTAATCGCCGAGTCCAGCTCGGAACCAGCAGAATTCAGCACAGCCATGTCAACCTTGTCCCTGGGCAGAAACAGGAATTCACCGCCTTCAACTTTCTCAAACCCGCAGAGCTCCAAAAACTCAAGGCCTCCTTTCATTGCACCCACTCTCTCCTGCATGGTCCACATGCAGCAAGGTAAGAATCTTATTGAAGAAGAACACAAGCAAGGAAGACCTATTACCATCGATGATTACAACTCTGCACGGCTCAAATATTCATGAATCATGTATAGTAATACGTGTTTCAACTGATCTAGCAAAAGAAATTAAGTTATTAGGGCAAGCTACTTGGATTATGTATGCACAAGTAGCTGACTTCTTGCTCGGAGGCCCCGCACAAATGGCAAGTATGATAGTTTTGACTCCTTCGTTAGATGCATTGACACTACAACTAACTCAAAGAACAACTTGAGCTTTACAGTAGATGTGGCTACAACAATGTCCACAACTTTCTATTAATGCATGTGGAAATGATTCTTCTTATGCTGCTCTGCTTCATCGCCAAAAGGAAAGAGAGAAGCAAGTGAGGGGGAAGAACAAGGATGTAAGGGAGATGTTTAGAATATACAGTAGCTAGACATACTATGCTTTTGTTTGATAAAATTGCCAGATTGGGGCGAAATAGACATAAGAAAAGAAGCTATCAAAACCTGCAATTTTGGGTCTCATGGACAACAGTTGGTTTAAATCTCTCATGAGTCCCCCTTCATCCCGTTGATTAGGTTTTAATGCATTTTCAACAATCCAAATAATGATGAAAAGATTCGAACCTGGAAAGATGGGTTAGTGGCTCTGATCTTTCTGAATTTTTCCTCATTAGGATTCTTGGCAACATTCCCTATGTAGGTTAGCAGAGTCTGGAATGCTCTCTTCACTTTAGCATCATCCTCCTATTTCAAGTAAAGCCAAAAAAAAAAAAATTAACAGCAACAGCAATGCAGCATAGTCACTACGAAAGATTAACACTTCAAACATATAAAATTTTTCATCTATAACAGCCATCCAGAATTATTGCCAGAAGAGCATAAACATAGCATTCTCCTCAAGACTAAAGTCGTTATAGCACATTCAAGATTCTTGATACATGCATCAGAAATCAAAAGCCATTGCTCCAAATAAAGAAGGGAAGCGATAGAAGCACTTAATTTTCAGGGAACATGAGGACATCACCATACGGACAGCATATAATGGTTACATAGCAAAGTACATGTTGGCCTTTTACCTTGTGATTCTGCTTGAGTGATCGCAAACATTCTCTCATCTGCTCAGCCTTCGTGGCAGGTCTAACAGGCAGTGAGCTCTAGGACATAAAACAACAAAGAACATTAACAAGAATCCCCAATAGTTTTAAAGAACAACAAAGGATAGAAGATTGTTATATCAGTTAAGTCCATACCTTCTTTTCCTCAATGACAGGTGCAGATGGTTTTGCAGCTGAAGGTTCTTCTGGTGGCAGTCCCAATTTCCGTCTTCTTTCTGCCTGTGAAGAGATCAAGCAGCTGTTAAACCAACTTGCATATAGTTATAAAACTTCTATAGTTCAAAAGTAGGCTCCAATAAAAGAATATCAACATCCCCCATGACCCAATGGCATTTTCCTATTGTTTCAGTATGTTCGGTGGAGAACCATGGGTCATGACCAGAAAACGATCATATGATTCACAGACAGAAACAGATCAGATATAAGACCCTGCCTCATGTCCAAATGGTCTTAAAAAACAGCTCTTTGCTTTCCCACAGTAACAGCACCAACCTGATCCAAAAGTAGCTTTGTAGTTACTGTCTCAAAAATTCTTTTCAAAAGGAAGCCTGGTTCAGAAAGCATCTCAATGGTTTTTCATTTTATTTTAATTCTGTTAATCCCAAGAATTTTAATGCAAGTATACAAGCTGCTGCCCTCCAATTTTAAACTTTAGAGGTGATCATTGGTCTTACAACAAAACAGCCATCATGCAACATCTCGAAAGAGCATTTTTTTTTTTGGAGCAACTGAAATATTTGTCCTCGAAACCAGCTTATGGTGACAAGTGTCCACAAGGATTTGCTGACGAGCACTTCTGTTACTCTACTTTTGCAGTTCTTAATATAGTCATGTCGATCAAAATCTCACCCACTGGAATCTTTGATGGAACATCACTAGGCAGATATATACACTTCAAGAATCTAAGACTTCAATTTCCTTCTTAGAGTTATTTATCTGTCTAGTAAACTACAAATAAAACATCTAATGGTAGCAGTAGGTGGTCGTACTTATCTGAACTAAGCACTCAACAGTGTGAAAAAATGATGATCATGTGATTGTGACTTCATTGCATGACACACAGCTTAAGTAGTTATCTCTACCTAAAGAATGATAAACAGTGTACATCCCACATAAAAGAGATTTACATGAGTAATGCATTATAATGGGATCCTATAACTAGTATGTCAAGACAACCAGAACATGTTCTATACCTTGTCTTCTTCCAATTTCTGACGAATCTTTTCCCTAGCCCTCCTCTCTTCCTCTTTCTCAGCTTTCCGCAAAGCCAACAAACTGGTAGAAGGGAAAAAAGGCCTTAGTCACAGCAACAGAAAACTGTTTGGAGTATTCTTAGGAGAATTCCTCATAATGATTGCATTCTAAAAATATTTAAAATATAAATGAATAACTAACCGTTTCCTTTCATTTTCCTCTTCAATTCGCTTTGCCTCTAGGAGTTCCTTGCCAACTCGAATCCTTTCCTGCAAAATTCGGCAGGCAGTTTTCACTATGAAAGATGAAAAGAAATTATGAATATATTCCCAGAGGCAACCTTGCCATGCACACTTAAAAGCTCAAATAAGAAACCACTGAAAAGGTCTGTTGCAGAGTATTCCAAAAGGTACAACCTAGATAAAGATGATGCACTTCTTGCTATTTGTTCATACAGATACTATACCTCAAATCAAAATGAAGTTACTGTATAACATCAACTTGCGTAAATACTAAAATATGTAATCCAAAAACTTAAGCCATTAGAGGAGGGAGACTACATCTATATAAGGCCTATATAAACCCCTGGACAAGCAAACCCCATAGACAAGCAATGAGGGGTTCCTTAGCCACAGGCACTCTCCAAAATTGCATCGAGCAGAATCCAAATCAAAACCATTCTTAGTTCTTTGCATTTAGGATAAAAAATGATAAATTTTCAACTCTATTGGTTAAATTTTGTTAACTTATCTCAAAAGCTCGCTTACATATTTGAGAATGACAAGCAAACTTTCATGGGATTAAAAACCACACGTGGGAGCTTCTTTAGTCATTTTATGCATGAAACTTCTTGCTTTATATTTTGAAGACATATCCCAGCAGTATAATTACTATATATTACTTTTCTGAAAACTGCCATACAACAATAACCTTACCATCCAGTAACCAAATTTACCCCTTATCAAGTGGACGGCAATGGAATGGAATGGAATTTGCAATTTCAATGTCAGTTTCAATTATCAGGATATAGGCCCACAAACGCATCAAAAATCTATGGGCCTGCGATACAAGACCATCCCAGAGTTGAACATGTATTTTCCTATTCATCATGCACCCCAAGTTCTTGTGTTTTTCCTATTCTTCACACACCCTAAGTTCTTTAACAAGTGTAAAAGTATGATATAAGCTAGATGATCCAGCTTAGGTCAAAAGAACTTTAACCACAGCAGGTCATGGATTAGATTAATCTGTCACCAGAATGTTGCTTAAATTGATTTTCATGCTTACAGTTCATCTTTTCAATCTAAAAGAAAGACTAGTGAGTCCATTGCTCCGATGCGATGAAAAAATGAGTCATTTTCACAGACAAATTGAAATCACTATGTTATCAAAATGTTTTAATCAATAATAAATTCCACAATCTAAAAGGATTTGATAATTTCCAAGACCAATTTAAAGTTTGTACATTTTATAGTTAAAAAGTGACAAATAGTAGTTCAATGTTTCACTATAAAAAATGTCTAGATTACTACAAAATATGGAACTGCTTGACATGCATATCAAGAGATGAACCCAGTTAGTGAAAACATCAACAGTGCAATAAAAAAAAAAAGTGATGAAATGACTTGGAAAAATAAGTGAAAGAACAGAATCACCTTTTCTCTCTCTCTTTCCATTCTCTTTTCTTCGTCTTCTTTCTTCTTGCGAGCTCGTTCCCTATAGTTTGGTTAAAAGAAGAATCACCATGCAGTGAAATGAAATGTTTATGCTAAGATTTTACTAAATAGGTAATAAAAAGTTAGTTTTATCAAAGTAATTTGTCTTGTATCTAAAGTAGATACGGTACACATGAATATATACATTAGTGTAACATTTGATCATTAGCAAAATAAGATAAAAATGTCAACATGTGCAAATAGATGTCGAAGAAAAATAATATTCAAGCAACATGTCTCCCTCGAAACCACCTCCCTTCATTGAAAACAGATGAATGCAAGAAAGCGCACAAACACTAACGATTGCGGCAATATAAGAATCACTTTAAGTTAAATAAAAATCCCATCAAATTTAGGAACCATAGCCAATACTAAAATCCACAGAAAAAGAGACAGGTAATCATAGATGATGAATACCGTGGTCCAAACTGCCAACAATATACATTATTCCTTACTTAAGTTCTTGTGCTTTAAGCCTAACTTCTTCTGGCGTGAGAGTCGGCTTAGGAGCTTCAGCTTTGGTGTTAATAGGCACCTGACAAACTCAAAAGAGGTAAACAGAATTATATGAGGACAAGCTGAAGCTCAATAACCTAGAATAGGTTTGTCACTTTAGTAAACTTTAGGCTCAAGTCAACAATAGTGATGTTCAATGTCCTGCAGCTTCTCTATCAAACAAAATACAACAAGGATGATTTGTGTAGTATAATCATCATACCATGACTACTATAACTCTATCAAATGGCCAGAAGTATAGAAAGATCGATTCACCACAGTGAGCTGGTGCAATATCAGATGACTAAATATCATCATACCTTTTTCTTCTATCTATTAAAGGCATCATTAGGTACTAAACCTAACATCATCAATGCCACGTAAACTATTTGTAGGAGCCAAACAGATACATAGAAAATGATGATACCCTATCATCTACTGAATAGAAGGTCATAATAACAAGCTAATGGTATTGCTCATTTTTCTTTCAAAGAATCAATGCTGCTCCAAAAACCCTTCGCTTTTAAAAGAATGATGTATAGCCTCTTCCTTTTAGAACAAAGGCTGACGCATGAGCATATCTTTTTCTAGTACTTTTATGTGTCCCTTCTTTATTATTTAGTTTTTCCTTACGTTATTAGGTTAGTAAGTGCTAATGTAATAGGCATGTAACTTCTTAATGAGATTTGATGGTAGATAATCTCAAGATTAGAAATAGTTTATGTTTAATTAAGGGTTGAGATCATCTTACATAGCTCAGCATGTTCTATTCCATACAGGCAGGAAAGTCCAGTCCTTAATTATTTGATTATTTTTAGATGTTTAGTAACATCGGTAAATTAGCTACAGTTACGGGCTAGGGAAAGCTTGAACCTAGCTGCTTCAGCTTCAGCCACTCGAATTTTCGATATTCCTTTCACAATTCTAGTAAAGTATTTTCAATCACTTTGTTGTCAGTTCTCTTCTTCTAAATAGATATCATTGGTTTATCCAAACCCTAGAATGTCTAATTTCTGTTCCAGCTTCAATTCTTCTCAATCCAAACCCTTTCTTTTGGTCCTTTTTGTTGTTTGTTGCATCTTCAACTATGTAATGGTGCAACCTCATATCCAGATTTATTTCAAATAACAATTTAAGTACCTCTACCTTCAACAGAGGAAAACATGAATCAATGTCACCCAAAAATCAACAAAAACCCATGCAATATATTGGCATTTGACATTCGAGAAGATCAAATTGATGCATCTATAACCAGGGCCAACTTGGCTGCACCAAATCATCAAAGGAAGGAAAGTGTTTCATGTGTGCACAGCATGTGGGCTTTATGCATTTGCTAGGGCACATGGCTAAAAATTGTGATGCCATCTGTGCCAATTGAAAGGAAAAGAAAATGAAAAACCTTAAAAGGTCAGATAGAGTTATCTTACCAGAGGCATCTGATCGATTTCAGGGTCATCCTCATGTTCAACCACCCAATTGATAGCAGCTTCAACACTGGTGTTGCCTGAGGAGACAAAAGAGATCATCCATCATTCAAATAGCCACACAACTCCATGGATTGAATGCAGACAAGCACTTCACAAAACCACTTGACTTGATATGATTGCATTAATAAAGTGGTTAGATCCATCAGCTGTATAATAGCATGGATCAACCAGGAACAAAATAGTATCCTTAATGCACATATCTGAAACGAAATTCTACCATTTAATCATGATAATCCTGTCAGGCTACAACATAATCTTAATAAAGGTGAGCATTTATACCTCAACCTCAGAAAATGATTTACCATGCTAATCAGATGAACATTCCGACTATATCATTTAGTGCCTGGTAGTTTTGGTTTTTTTTAAGTTGCTAACTTCCTTAAAAAAACAAACCACAATTTACCAAACAGTTATGTCATTGACACAAGCATTAAAAGAATCCATCAAGTGTTGAGATACTTCACCATGAAAAGTTTAATGCTTTTACTGTAAGTCTTTCTGTTCCCATTTCAAAAGTGAAGGTAACTCAAAGTTATGATGCCAAAATGTCTCATCACATTTTTCGTTTTAACAAGCATGGAACTGTACCATACACTGCCTCTTTAGTTGCCGATAAAAACTTAATAATATAGTCCCCATGAACAAAAAAGCCTAAAATCAAATACTGCCAGGTGTAGGACATCAGAGAAAATGTCACTTAAAAACATGAGAAGAGCCTCCAATATTGGCAGCCCGATAAATCATGTTAGCACGTAATCGTTTTTAGCCAAGTACGACCCTTAATCATTACCAATGTTTTCCACACAAGAGAAACAAACAACCAAACCATGAATGGGCAAAGCATAAATCCAATAAACCATGGAAACATGAAGTAAACCAAATTTCTTTCTCATAAATGGCTAAGTATCATCATTCCCAAATGTTTCAAATCAAACCAGTGCGATCAGACATAAGGACTATTACGAACCAGAAGAGGGAAAACTTGGTGATCCAAATTTAAACCCCAGTCTCAAGTCATCATATTATGAGAAAGACTATCAATACTTGAAACTCTGGGCACAAGCCTCAGAATACAAAAATATATCCACAAATGAAATTGCTTAAAAGTCCTTCAGCAAAAGTAAAACTCCGTTAAATAAACTCACTAGTAAAAGAATATCATCTGCAAGAATCATTTACTTGGAATAGATAAATGCTCTTTTTTCTAGTTTACCAAAATTAACTGATATCAAACAATTCATGTAGCAGAGTTTTTTCATTTGCAATTTAGATAGGTATGTTTGGAGCCTTTCACGCGAATCAACAACTCTGACAACAAATTCTACCAAGCAATTTGAGATCTGCCTATAAATAACCACTGCAATCAAGCCCACAATACCCAAAGCTAACACTTTTCCACTGCTGAAAGCTCAAATTATCATAAGCAATTCTGAGCCAAGCATCAAACTAGTTGCAATAGCCATGATTAAGAAGACACGTATTTGTACTACTTCATAAATTCACCTATATAATATGCAATTAACACTGGAGTAAAATTCATATTCACCAGAAAAATGAAGAGCTCGAGTAGCTCGTGCCGTGGGGAAACCCATTGCTTCAAGTTCTTCCAGAATTTTTTTGTTGACCTCAGGCACAATCATCTCTGCATAAAAAGCAAAGCATCATTATTATGGTTATTGTCAACTAAGTGGGCATGTGCCCATTTGCCACTCATTCCACAGCCACAACAAGACAGCAAATATGATTTAATACAAAGCAGAGGCAGAGAGAGAGGCAGGCCTAACAAGTTCGAAAAACTTATAATTCTCTCTCTACAAAATAAAAAAAAAAGTACTAGATGTTCCCTTCATGATCCAGATTAGTGCTCGTCTCAAGTGAAATCTAATGTAAGGTACAGCGTATACCAGCGGATCTGGTCAAAATAGATCGAGAAATATGGAGTGAAAGTAAAGATTTGATTATGGCTATGCAGGATTGTGAACCTGCTCAATTACAATTTCTCTCCTAGTACGCACTTTTAATGAAAGTCTAATCCAGTACAATACACATAACTGTTCATATGCCAGACCCACCATTCCAATACTTTATGTTTATAAATAAATGAAATTACAAACATAACTGTTTCAAAGGTACATGTATTGTCTGTTACCTGGCAAGTTGACTTCAAGCTCCAGTATTACAACCAAATGAATCCAAACCTTAGATTTTCCTAAATGTACTTGAACCGGTACCACAACCCAAAACCTAAAACCAGATAATTCACTAGGGTCCAAAAACGCATTAAACCCAACTCACTGTCACCCTAATCAATTATTGCAAAATTCTCCTCAGCATCACCAGACAAATGCAAACAGTAATGTTTTTAGTCCCAATAGCCACCTGAGTCTTAACACCAACACTTCATGTACATGCTTGAGGACATGCTCAAACAATAGCAGAACATAAAATTGATTAACCAAAGGACACATCAAACTTTGCAGACACGTGGCTGAGCAACTCCCAAACTTTCCATTATGAATGTAAAAGCACAATATGCAACAATATAAGAATTGACAGTGTTCAACTAGAGGTTTAAGCTTCACGAAAAGATAAAGCTTCATACTGATATATATAAAAGAGCCAGAACTATCTCTTCTCCTTTCTCAAAAATTAAGTTGAGACAAAAAGAGGATACATATACTGGCAGTTCAAACGACCGATCACTAGCAGATAACTTGACAATCTGTGGTGAAGGTTATTATCAGGCACAAAAAAAAAAAGATCAGACTAAACAAATAGAAAAACCAAACATTAATACATGCAATCCATCCTCATGCTAAACACTCAATCACATGGAAAAAGATTATCCCAAAGACAATCAGAACATTATGCACCAGCTAATTAATCTCAAGTTGCACACTTTGCTAATCAAGCCAGAAAGGTACCTTCAGTCTGCTTACTAGTTGTTGCATCTGGAGCATCTGCCGATTCTGCAGCAACCTTTGGAACCTCCAAACTTATTGGTTTTGCTGTCTCCAAAGTTTTATCAGCAAATTCAGTATGCCCGGTTCTCTTTGTATGCAAATCAGTTTCCTGGCAACAAGATCAAGAAAGGACACATTCAAAATAGAAATTAGGGTTTCCCTACATTTTGGTTTTCCTTGATAATCGAAAGTCAAGACAGATTAATCCATGGACTGGCAGAAATGTTGTCTTAAAAGATAAAGACATTCCAATGCCTAATTCCTTTATTGTAATAACTAGTTTAAAGGGCACGGACATACATATGGAGAAATTAGAGAAAGGAAGGGACATAGTGAATACGTAGTACGTATTGAAATAGAGAGAGCTGGTAGCTCAAGAGTTACTTGTGGTTACCATTCTTGCTCGATTAAAATGATGACCATTAAGGATGGTAAGTGAATTTTTATTGTCGAAATCGATAAACAAAAACTACCTTCAATTTCCTAACAGGCAGTAGATTGAGGGTCCACAATAGCTTCAATTGACTTCTCCTATTTATCTCAATTAGTGCGAATTTTATTTTTCACTTACCGTATCAAACATAACTAAGGTCCCCGCAGATCATTCCCACCAATACCAGAGCTCCTTTCATTGTTATGTTGTGCAAGAAACCAAGTGTCCAACTTACCCTCACAAGTCAACAAATCTTCCAACGTAGGATACACAATGGAGTCAACTGACTCCATTGTGTATCACAAATTACTGAATAGAATCGCAGATAGTAACACTTAATCTCTGGACATAATCATCCTATCAAGAATCAACCTCCTCAATGGAAATGTTCCAGAAAACAGGCTTTCCTTATCAAAATTTGACAAGGACAGAATCAGCCACATCCGCATCTGTATTATCTTCCTTTTTCGTGCCTACTCTAACTCACAAGACTTGTTTTTTTGGAATGGATTTGAGGCAAAGCTTCATGTTCCCATCTAGAAAGCTACAAAAACAGTCATTTAACTAAGAATTCCTCTCATTCAACACAAAAAAAGGGACCCAATTCGATTTCCCCGCAGAACACCTATTACCTCCGCCGCGAAACTCGATCTGCTTCCCTCACCCCACACAATTCAATGCGAAAAAAGCACCTTCAGATCCAGCTAACGCGCCAAAACGCTCAGAAACCAAATCAATGGCCAGCGCAACAGATCAGAACGCCACAAAAGGCGGGGATTCGGCGTACCGTCTTGGATCGGCAGGGCTTCCCGCAGGAGCTGCAGACGAGATTGAGGACAGCCTCGGTGGACTCGGAGAAGTTGGAGTGAGAGGTAAGCTCGGCGTGCCCTTGAGCTTCCTCCACGGACTTCAGGAGAGCGCCGCAGTCGCCGCACTTGAGAGAGACGCCGGCCATGGCTCCGGTCCTCCGATCGGGAAAGGGAAAATTCGAGAGAGAAACGCTTCGCGCTCGGAACGATGCGGCCTCCCGATGGCCGGACGGAACGGTTGGGATTTCACCGGCGACGACGACGACGACGACGACGACGACGACCTCCTTTGTCTTGCGAGAAAGGGGGTTTGGTTTTGGTTTAGGCTTTGCTTGCGGGGGAGGGAAGGGAGAAAGTACTTCGTGTACGGGGTGAGCGAGGGGCCGGTTTAATTCGGGAACCGAACCGAACCGAACCGATCCGATGCAATCGAATTTAGGCCTGTTTGCGTGAGTACCGGTTTGGTTTCGGGGTGTGAAATATTAGGGGAAGGTGTCTTGACTGGTTTGGTTTTCGATTCGGATAGAGTTTTGTGGAGAAAATGTTTTGAGCCGGATTCCGGACCAAATGCTCATAAATTTCATAAATATAAAGGCAATTTCTTAAATCTAGCCCCTCTCTGATTTGGCCCTTGGCTTTCTCTCTCTCGAGCCTCATCTGGCACCTTCTCGTCTCATCTCTCTCTCGGTCTCACGGGATGCACCCTCGCCTTTGTCGGTCGGCCATCAATCAGCCCGCTCTTGGGCACTCACTCTCTCTCTCTCTCATGTCGTTTCATTTTTTTTGTTTCATCATTGAATTATTTGATTTCAGTGCACTGTGATTACTATTTTCTCAGCTATTTGCCATTGCCCGCTTGTTTATCCTTTTGCTCGTTGAATCTCCCTCGGCCATAATCAAAGGAAAAATCATAATCAAGTTAGGCTTCGTTTGTTTCGCGAAAAATAAATGATTTGGAAAATAATTTTCTAAAAATAATTGTTTGTATTACTCAAAATAACTGGTCAATGAAAAATATTTTTATTAACGATAACAATTTATGTCTAAATATTTTTGTGAATAATGAAAATAACTTTTCGATGGTTCATTGTTTGTAAGTGATACAAGTGATCATTTTTAGAAAATTATTTTCCAATCATTCATTTTCCACGAAACAAATGCACCCATTCCATATTGTGCAAACACCATGGTAGGGTATATTATAGTATGCAGAGTGAATTTAAGCTACTTTTGATAGTTAGGATAAAATTTAGGATTGAATAAAATTAATCATATCCTATGTTTGATTCATATCCAAGACAAAATAAAGTCGGAAATAAGAGGTGTATAACTCGATAAAAATAACTTATGGGGAATGTAGGATAAATGTGGATAGAATTTCTAATATCCGTAATATAAAAGTTATTTTTCTCGTATAACAAACTTCTTAAATTAATAAAATTAAAATAATAATTGAATATAAATATATTTGAATTCTAATATAAAAAGAAAATTCAATATAACAAAAAATAAATAACAACAATTCGTTTTTATTTATATAATCGGATTTCTTTCTATCTTATAATATAATAAATATATATTTAGTATGTAAAAATTTATTGGAGAATGATGGAAGTGGAAAAAGAAATAAAAAGAGAAAGGGAAAAATAATGAAAAATAAGCAAATAAAATTGAAGTAGCCAAGAGTGTCGGAATAGATTCTTACCATCTCCGTCTATTCAATTATACACTAATATACCGTTCATACCAAATAATAAACAGGATATGATATGAAAATATTCAACTTTATTACTGAGATTCACATATGATATAGCAAAAATCTCTGAAGTTGATATCCTATCCTACCTAGTCTTATCATAATTAAAAATCCGGACGATCAAATGCAACCTTAAAACTTTCACATACCACGGCTGATAGCCAAGATAAGCACATAGAGAACATTAAAGTGACCCGTGTGACCTAACGAATGTGTTCATTCCGAGTGGTGCTCGAGCGACTGGTTTCATTTGAATTTCTAGCTAAAGTAATTTACTCAATTCTTACTGTTTTTCGTTTTTTGTTATTTTTTTCCCTTAGATGTTGAAGTATGGCAGCAATTTCGACCTCTTATTCGAAGCGATTTTGCTTCCATCAAAGACGGGGACCTAAATGGTGAAGGGAAAACTAAGGCTACATTTGGTAACTGGCCAACTAGTAACTGATTTTATTTTTTTTCCCCAAAATCAGTTTTGGAACAGAAATCCATTTGGTAAACTTTTTGTTTCCGGGCACAAATTTGCACAAATTTATTCCTAGAATAAGTTTTGGAACATAATCAAGAAGCAAAAAAAAGTTACTTCTTGATTTTGAGAACAAGAATCAGAAATGGAAAAGAAATTTTCTTCTTCTTCTTGGTTTTCTTTTTCTTATTCTTCTTCTTCCTAGCCTGTAGCGAGGGCGTCGCCGCCCTCGTCGGATCTGGCCAGGGCGTCGACGAGGGTCCAGCCCTTGTTGAAGCCGGCGAGGGCCGCGATGCCCTCGCCAGGCCTGGCTGTGGCTAAGGAAGGGGAAGAAGAAGAAAACAAATAAATAAAATATTAAAAAATTCAAAATATTATTAATAAAAAAAATTGTATAGTTACCAAACGCATTTCTGTTCTTTTTCTATTCTAAGAATAGAAATTTTCAGCAGTTACTAAACGCTTTCAAATGCTTAGAAATTGTTCTTGAGTACATAATAAAAAAGAATCATTTCTGAACAGAAATTATTTCCGGGAACAAAATAGTTACCAAACGTACCTTAAGCTTAACGGTGGTTGTATGTATTAGGAGTGTGCAAAACGAATCACCCAAACCAGAAACCGTCTAGACCGGACCGTACCGGCTGGTTGGGTCAGATTCCCGGGGAGTGTCGGTCTAGTTTCAGGTTCCTAAAAGTGGAACTGGTGTCTAAACGATCCATTTCCCAGTTCCAAGAGGGAAAGGACTGAACCGACTGGACTGGACTGACTATATATATATATTCTAATTTTTAAAAAAAAAATTAGTAAAATGTGAACTAAACCCTAAGTGAACTTCATCGACATAAATTCATTGAAAAAAATTAGTAAATGTGAATCAAAACCCTAAGTGAACTTTATTAACATAAATTTATTGACAAAAATTAGTAAAATATGAACTAAATCCTAAGTGTTTAATCCAAAAAAAAAACTAAACCTTAAGTGACCGGTTCCATTGGATCGGATCGGACCGGATCGGACCGGATCGATCTAGTCCTAGGACCAACCGGTCCGGTCCCCAATTCCCAAATTGAGAACTAGATCTGCCGATCAAGTTCTTGGTTTCACCTTGGAACCAGATTAGATTGGGAACCGATCATCTCTAGTATGTATTACCGGGTTGTGATTGATATTACTAAAACATGGGGAGGGTGCTATGAACAAGTCAATTTTTGGTGGATGTTCTTTATGATATTGAGCTACCAGTAGTCTAGTATTACTCTACTTTTGGGGCTTGAATGTTTATGTGCAGTGACTGGGATGTTTCATGGAAATGGATGTTTGGATATTTATGTATGGAAGTTTGTTTTGCTATTTAATGAAGGCGTGACCTTTATTTTGCAACTATTAATTATATTTTTGCGAATGTTATGTTTATGCTAACTCGATTTGTGATGTTTCAGAACGTCGCACGCGACACATGTCTTCTCCAATCATTACTCACAATAATTGTAAGCATGCAGAAGCACATTAAATCATTCACAATATTCCATACAAAATGATCACACGAGTTTAATAGTATACATATGCATCTTCTGTATATTAACATCATTATTACAATCCTAATATAGCGTCCGAGCAAAACACAAAACACATATGTCGTGGGAACGGTTAGGTTTACTTATATCCAACACCACTCCTACACCCAAAAAGCTCGCATGTACAAAGGTCAAGTTATTCACTACGGATCGACAACCTCGCCATCGCCGTTTCTCCGTCACCATCGAAACTTCTTAACGATCCAACCAACTCACCATCGATATTCAGGTATCAAGGCCTACGTCGACCTATACGGTGAAACTACACTTAGTGTATACTACCGTTAATCCAAGTATAAGCACATCTTCATAATAATAATCGAAATATATGAGAACTCCAAAAAACAGTGGCGGTGGGGATCCATCCTACATATGTGAAAAATAAAGAAATAAGCCGAAGCTCGGTAAATGAAATCTCTAGATTGAAGATAAGAGTTCCACTTATCACTCAATCTAGTGAGTTCAAGGCATTTCATGTCATCTCAACTTTGTATGAAAGTGTCCCATACGATAAAATATTTGACTAACTCTGGAGTCTCGTACACACACTCATACAAGGAAATTCGCTCGGTGGCAAATAGATCGTGGCAAAGGTCTTTATCATATGGCATCATTCACTTACAATTAATTACAACACAATAAGTGCCATGTATTCTTTAGTATCTACAATTGCTAATAATAACAAACTAACCTTTTGGCATTTTCAATATATAACGTGGCAATCGATTAGTTACATACATTTCAACATACAAACCTTCATTTTTTTTTCACCAAGCCAACATTATTTGGTGGAGAACAAGTTCATTAATTCTTGATATGCTTTTTGCATTAGACACTACCACTTCCATAACTTAGGCAACTCATTCAATTCATTTTTTTTTCATTTCCACCCTTGATTAAGTTCACTTTTACCACAAATATTAAGGATTACCTTTTATAATTTCAAATTCTTAGAATTAGATTATCGCCCTAGTAATCGAGTTTTAAAACTTTCAAAAGTACAATCAAATCCTAAATCTTGTCAAATTGGTCCAATTAAGTTTTCCGTTGATTGCACCTTTTGAAAATTTCAAGACTCGATTGCATTTTCGTTACAATATTTAAAACTCGATTGCGCTTTTTGAAAACTTTAGGACTCGACTGCACTTTAGTGCAAGTTTTAGGACGTCATTGCACCTTTTGAAAATTTTAGGATTTAAACTGCACTTCGTAATAAATTTAAGGACTTTCGGTGCAATTATCCCAAAAACAAAGTTTGGGCTCGAAAAGATTGAGTGAATCTAGTTCTAGGGCTCTCTCTAACGGGCTCGAGGCCCAAGTTCGCCATCCTTTCTTCCTCCCACCCACGCTCGGGACTCGAATCTCTGCGCGCAGAGAGCGAGCGGAGACACCACTCTAGGCTACCGCCTTCTTCGTCTTCTGCTTCTGCTGCTGCTGCTGCTGGTTCTTCTTCTCCTTCGTCTTCTTCTTCGAGCTCAAGCAGCGAACTGCCGAAGCGCGAGCCCGAATCGCATCGGCCCGGAGCAGAGCGATGACGACGCGGATCGCTCCGGGGGTCGGGGCGAACCTGCTCGGCCAGCACTCCGCCGAGCGGAACCAAGACGCCACCGCCTACGTCGGCAACCTCGACCCTCAGGTCCTTTTTCTTGCCCTAGAAACCTAGTCTCTTTCATTTTCTCTCTGTCGAATTCCTTCTGTCCCGCTCCGAGCGCTTCGTTCCGGTTTCGGGAAGTGTTTGTGCGAGTGCCTCTGCTGATTATGAATTGATTGATGTTCATCCGACGGCGTGTTCTTGAATTGCAGGTGTCGGAGGAGTTGCTCTGGGAGCTGTTTGTTCAAGCGGGCCCTGTTGGTAAGTTCGGCTCCTTTTCTTGCGCTGATGCCTAGTTTCGACGAGACGCTAGGATAATGCCGTGGAAGCAATCGCTTGTAGCTACGGTTTTCATAGTATTTGTGTCGCTGGTGTATTTGAACTGGTCATGTGTTAACTTGCTCTGGAATTACTGTAAAGGGAAAAAGTAAGATTGAACTGGTCATGTGTTAAGACTCAATTTTTGTTATCTTTTTCTTGGTGTTGCGAGGAATGTCGTCTTCGCTCTCCCGGATGGGTTTCTTTTATTCAGTGATTGAGTTTAAAAAATATGAATGATGGGTTTGCCCTCTGTGCATATTCATGTGGTGAAGTTGATTACCCCAGCAGCTTTTCCTAGTTTTCCTTTTGTGAATAAAGCCCCTGCACCCTGCACCCTGCCTTGCTTTGTTTGAGGTTTCGGGCTATCAAGGATGAAAATTCACCATTTTGTAACTCGTTTCAGTTAATGTTTATGTTCCAAAGGATAGAGTGACAAACCTTCACCAAGGATATGGATTTGTCGAGTTCCGGAGTGAAGAAGATGCTGACTATGTAAGTACTAGTCTAAGTCACTGCATTGCTAGTTCTATTAAGCTTAGCCTTCTTTGGCATGTTACTAATCTTTTTAATGATCATTTTATTATTACAGGCAATTAAGGTGTTGAACATGATAAAACTTTATGGAAAGCCTATACGCGTGAATAAGGTATATATATTTAAGGTTTATACATATCTTCATTGTTTTGTAAGTTATCATGTGATTAAGAAAATACCTCTCTAGACCATCTATTCAATCTGTATGTGTTCAATTGTTAAACATGATGCTTTTGGACTCGTATTCAGGCAACCCAAGATAAAAAGAGCTTGGATGTGGGGGCAAACCTTTTTATTGGAAATCTTGACCCTGTAAGTAGTCAGATACTATGATTGTTATTCATGGGCTAAGGCTGTCAGTACAACGGTCCTAATTCCTTGCCTTGGCTATGGCATATCCTCTGCAGGATGTAGATGAGAAGCTTCTGTATGATACTTTCAGTGCATTTGGCGTAATCGTTACGAATCCAAAGGTGATGCTTTCAATTTTTCCTTGATTTGCATTAAGTCCAACCCTTACAGTAGTCAACCATTTCTTGATATCTCAAGCATAAAATTTTTTTAAGAGCATTGTAGTGCATGAAAGTACCTGGGTTGACTGTGATTGCTATGTTGTACTCTTGCAATGCGGCTTACTTTGTATAGTTAATTGATCTTTATTTCATGTGTGGCATGATGATTGTGAAAGCGATCTAAGTTGGATAGTTGCGAACATCATGTACTGGTATTGCCAGTTGATAAGCCAATTTGGGTGTATACCGTCTAATGCCTGCCCAATAAATGGATTACATGTATCTTGGAAATACAGTTTTTTGCGTTGATTCTACTACCCATCTACTAGGGGTATTTTTGTGTAATTTTAGAGCTTCCAAATGCAGGGTCGTTATTTGAATTTTGATGGAATCTGTTTATTATATTCATATGTCACACTTTAGTTCGAGGAATCAGCATAAGCTGTCAAGTTCCCTTGGCAGAGGACTAATTGGGCCCTCTAGATGCTGAAACAATTGGGTTTTTGTGGGGTTGGAAATTTGTATATTTTGTTGTCATTGCTGGTGCATTGTTCTTAGTTACCTGATTCTGCAAATGCATCCAAATGCATTTCCCCCTGACCTTTTTCCCCTCTGTATGGAATCACTAGTTTAATGTGATTTTCAGTGGTAGATGTCATTCGGACATTTAACACTTCCAGTGAGTCTTGATGGAAAGGAAATTCTATAAGTACCATTGCGATATTCCTGTGGTACTACCAGAAAAAAAGTCACTCTCATTAACACTACAGAAAATGTCTCTGGAGTTGTTTCATGAAGTTTTCCAATAGTCGGAGCTTGACATCCTCTTGCAGCTTGTCACCAAAAACCCAAGTGAACACTATGGATTGAATACAAATCACAACAGCTCATTGAAAGTGTGAAGATGCTTGATTTTGACTTCAGTTGGAGACTTCTATGATTGATCAATTTGTGCTCATTCAATCCATCTCTTCATCAATTCTTATGATATATTTACCCAACACGGTTCTTCAAATATAATTCTGCTTATTCTCACTGTGTTACACCTCAAAAAGTGTAGAAGATTTTCTTGCAATTGTTGCAGGAGAATCTCTCATCACGAAAAGGATGGAAATGCAAAGAGAAACCGCATGAACTTGCCTCCATGTGTTTACTAATAATGTGTTCGTCAAGCTCATTCGAAACAACCTTAAGTGTGTTGTAATTGTTGCTTCCTGCTTTATGTTGTCTCTATGAGTGCTGAAGGACTGAGGTGTGGCTATTGTCGTATCCATACTGTGGTTTAGAACTGTAGCGGTGGGAGCTTTAAGTGCATAAATTATGTCAAAATTATTAGTAGTAGTTGCGACAAGTGTTTTAATGGGTATGATTGGTCACCATTATTATCTATTACCAGAGTTGATAGGCTCAGGAGCCGGTTAAGTGTGGGGAAGACAACAACTCCTGCCATGACAAGCCGCCATGTTATGTGTGAGCTTTGTGGCGTGAGAGTACTCAGTACATGTTAGTTGTGTGAAGAGTGAATGTGTTGCAACTTGCAAGAGTGAGAAGTCGCATGCTTTAGTGTTCTCTGTTTGAACAGAGATTGCAGAAACCTTTGATTTTCTGGCTGTGTTTGATTTGCAGGTCATTTTCTTTTCGGATTTTTTCTTTCTTCTCTTTCCTGTTTGGCTTCTGCTTGAATTGATGTGTGGCTTCTTTGGACTTTCTACCTCTTTCTCTATGTGTCTGTATGTCTCTGCTTGGTTTTCCTGTGTGTTTAATGTTGCTGTATTTGAATTTAGTCTTATTGCCGGATTTTCTTTATGTGGCTGGGTTTTCTCTGTTTTAATGGTGTTTTTGGGCATTTTTTTTTGTGTGTTTTCGTGGCGTTTTACGGCGCGTTTGGTAACGCTTCTGTTTCTCTATTTTTCTGTTCTTCTGTTCCTTGGAACAAAAAAAGAACAGAAATCCGTTTGGTAACGCATTTTATTTTTCTATTTCCTGAAATAGAAAAGTTGCTAAGAAATAGATTTGGAGCAGAAATAAGAAGTAGATTAATCTACTTCTTTGTTCCTAGAAATAGAAATAGAAATAGAAAGGTCCGGTCCTCAAGCCGCGATCTCAGCTCCTCCTCCATCCTCTGTCGTATGCAAACCGTCTCAAAGCACCGGTCCGGTCCATTCTCGGCGGAAATAATAAAAAAAATTAAAAAAATTAATTAAATTATAAAAAATTAAAAAATTCCAAAAATTCATAAAAATCAGAAAAATTCACAGAAAATCCATAAAAATCAGAAAAACTCAGAAAACCCATAAAAATTTGCAAAATTCCGAAATTGAAAAAATTTAAAAAAATTCATAAAAAGCTTTCTGGAAAATAAAAAGAGACAAATTTCGGGAAAGTAAAAAGTTTTAATAAACTTTTCCCCAAAAAAAATCAAAAATAAAAAATTCACATAATGGCTTAGAATAAATTAAAAAATTCCGAAAATTCATAAAAATTAGAAAAATTTCAGAAAAATCCCATAAAAATTAGAAAATTAAAAAATTCCCAAAATTCATATAAATCAGAAAAATTCTCAGAAAATCCATAAAAATCAGAAAAACTCAGAAAACCCTTAAATATTTGCAAAATTCCGAAATTGAAAAAATTAAAAAAATTTCATAAAATATTTTCGGAAAAATAAAAAGAAACAAATTTAGGGAAAGTAAAAAATTTTAATAAATTTTACCCCAAAAAATATAAAAAAATTCACATAATGGCTTAGAATACCTGTGGCCACCCACTTTGAGTGAAATTTAAATTTTTGAGATGCCCAAGTGGTATTTTTGAAGATTCCTTAGTTTAGGGATTAAAAGGGGTTTTAAACCCCTAAAAAGGATTAGACAAACCAATAAATCATGCTTATTGGTTTTTTTCACTTATAACTTGTACTTATAGTTAAATAAAAGATATAGATTTGAATGCAAAAAATTGGGAATAGAAATTTTGTGCAGTTACCAAATGCATTTCTATTCTTTTTCTATTCCAGGAATAGAAATTTTGTGCAGTTACCAAACACATTTTTGTTCTAGAAATAGAAATTTTGTGCAGTTACCAAACGCATTATTTTGCTCAAAAACTCTTCCAGGAAATAGAAATAGAAAAAACTATTTCTGAAAAGAAATTGTTCCCAGAAATAGAAACGTTACCATACGCACCCTTATGGTCGAAGTCTCTCAAGTTGGTTTATTGAACAGAAGTAACATCATGGGGTTGGCGTGGTGAAGGGTAGAGCAGTCATTTCTTCTTGGTTTTATCCCTTCTTTTGCTATCCTTTAGAAGGCAGAAAGTTCTAGACTACCCGGTGCAAATTGACAATCTCGAGCCCCTTTAAGTGTTTTTTTGGCGTCTTCTTTTCATGTCAAGATCAATTATTTTGGGTCTGCTACTGATGAAGGTAGTTGCTATTCATGAGCTTAGAACTCGAAAATTTAGTCTTAGTCTTGCCTGTACTTTGTGAGGTTTGTCTTGAATCTTGCAAATAGGGGCAATTTGTCTTAGGAAGTGTTTGAAGGACGTTTTTTGAAGGGTTAGACTTTCAGATTATGTGCTAGTATTAATCTGTCAGTTACTTTAGGTTTGGGTTTGCAATTATGTAATTTGTTTTATATTTTGGAATTGGAAATATACATACACAAATTTAAGAGAGCATTCGTGGGAGGTTTGGTCACGTTTGGTGTTAATGTTTTCTATGAGGGATGTATTCTTGTGTTTAGATTTTCGTAAACCCTTTTAAAACGGTCCAGATTAATTGGCATGTCTCCAGTGAGTTTTCAACCTAATCTCAGCCTTTTTGTGCTATGGTTGGGAGGCAAGAATATTCACTGTGATATCTTGAACAATGCTGTGCCATCCACATTGATTGCCATACCTTGTATTTCCATGGACAAATTGCACCATTTCTGAACTCTTATTGGCTTGAAGAAGTTATTTTGCCTTTGGTACCAGGATCAATGGACTGCTGTTTGTAAACTTTGTTAGGGACAATTATACTATCTTCTGTGTAGATAGATACAACATGAATCCTGAATAGGAGCGGCCATGGTGTGAGGCTGGAAATTTCTGTTCCTGGTATGCTGCATAGCTTTAGAATGTCTTAGATAACGGAAGTCCCTGTAATGAGTGAGCAGTATGAGGTCCTTATTGTGCTCTCAGATTTGAGCAATTAAATGAATGGATGATTAGGAAAGACTAAAATGTCAACAGCTTAAGCATCTTCGCTTCTGCATGAAATGTGAGGATCGACTTCGAGAACCACTGACATTTGTGGATTTGCATGCTTTCTTTCCAGATTATGAGAGATCCTGAGACAGGAAATTCCCGTGGTTTTGGTTTCGTCAGTTATGATTCTTTTGAGGCATCTGATGCAGCTATTGAGGTATCTTTCGTTCTTGATTCCCCTGGGCATTTTATTGATGATTAATGATTTATGGCAACAATAGAGATTGTTACTTTGCAGTGACACTCTATTGTCCGTGGTAAACATCAACATGTGGATTGCTGGTCAAGTACTCTTAAATGAATTGTTTTAGATATTATCTATTCAACGTTTCTGTATGGTTACTTTTATGTTAATGCTTATGATGTAAAAACTTGCTTTTTTCTCTAGAGAATGATGAATTGATTGATTTTTGTATTTTGTATTTTAGGCGATGAATGGCCAGTATCTTTGCAATCGACAAATTACAGTCTCATATGCATATAAGAAAGACACCAAAGGGGAGCGTCATGGTACTCCTGCAGGTAAGTTGCTTTGTTCATGGAGTATGTCTCTCTGATTGAGGTGCTTTCTTCACTCCCTACACACGTGCTATTATGACATAAATGGACCGTGGGTTAATTTGGTACTATTTCTTTTCATTGTTAAGACATGAAATGGTTAATCTCAAATACATTCATGTTGCAGAGAGAGTTTTGGCAGCTAGCAATCCAAATGCCACGAAGAGTAGGCCCCATACTTTATTTGCAAGTGGACCACCAACTCTTCCCGGTCCTCAGGCCAATGGTGGCATGGTTGCTCCAGCTCCTCCACGCCCCTTTGCAAATGGGGCTGTCGCTCCATCACCAATGCCAATGCTCCGGCCACCACCTCCTCCACAAGGAGCGACTTTCCCGCCTATGCAAGTCCCTCGGCCAGCATGGCCTGGTCAGCCTCCGCAACCTGGTCAGGCAATGCCACAAGTTGGAATGCCGCCGCCACCACCTTTACAGCAGTTCCGGCCACCTCCCGGCATGCCCCCGCCACCTCCTCAGGCGGGTCAAGTCCTCCAGAGACCACCTCCACCACCAGTTGGGATGGTAGCACCGCAACCTACCTGGCAACCACCACCACCTCAGCAACACATGCTCGGGAGGCCCCCCATGCCACACATGTCCATGCCGCCGCCGCCGCCGCCTCAAGGTTAGGGTGTGGTGATTGATGGGGTCACATCCATGAGATGCTTCAAGCATCTAGAGATTCAGTTGTAGCATTTTGTGAACTGCTTTTCCCTGTTGTTTAGAGTGTAGGGACCTAAGTATCTGAATATACATCTTAGTATTGAGCTGGTCTTTTATGTTGCAATAGTCCTAGTTCGTTGAATCATGAGTGTGTTAGAATGGCAGTGGGATTTAGCAAAAGGGATGTGATTTTCTTTACCTGTGTCATTGCATTTCTTCCTTATATTTGGATGAGAAGATGTTGCCACTGAGTCCGGAGTCGGATCATTTTTTGGAATATAACTCTTGAAGAGATACTGTAATTGAAACCAATATCTCAATTTGTTTCCCCAGTGTTGCGCCTGACAATGTAGGGCTCAATGTGTTTAAATTCAGTTGAGTTTTAGAGTGTAATATACAATCGGGGCATGTGATAAATTTTCATAGATTATAAGGAAGGGGTTTGAAGAAAAATGCTACTCAAATGCCTATTAGGTCGAGACGCTATGTGTAGATAACCATGCTCTATATATGTTTAACCGTGTGTCTTGGCCTTGATGATATGAGACAACTAGTTGCGTGGCTGTATTTTGTTCTTAGGCTCGGTTTGTTTCGCAAAAAATAAATGATTTGAATTTTTTTTTCTAAATATGATCGCTTGCATCGTTTACTAAGATGAGTAAATGAAAAATATTAGACTTGAATTATTGTCGATAATGAAAAATTTTCTATTGACTAATTATTTTAAGCGATGGAAGCTATAATTTTTCGAATCATTCATTTTTCTAAAAATAAATGAAGTGATAGTGTCAATAAATTTATATAATGTTTTTTGGGGTTGTTATCCCTCAAGGGTAGAAAATACCAATTAAAATTATTTGTCAAATCTGGACATACAAAATGCGACTTGCAAGGTTCAATAATTTTGATAAAACTTTTTGTTTTTATTTCCATTTCCATATCTAAATATATCTTTTAATTTGTTATTTAACTAATTTCATTGGAGTAGTTTGATTAAGTTAATACCAAATGAAGTTAAATCACATTATGCCATAATTTGTAATTTATTTGCATTGTTAGACCATAATTATACATAGTTTGTTATCATCAACTATTTTCAGAATAACTTTCGTCATCTATGTTGTTGACATAATGAGCAATATTTCTCACTTTACTTTAACTTCAAAACAAGGGGATTTATTTCCATCATAAGTTATTTTCAAAAAAATAAGTTAGTCAACAGTTTATTTCAAGATAATTTATCTTCATTTATTCTTTTAAATTCAATTTTAATAATTTTACTATCATGGTTTCTTTTAGACTAACACATACTTTCCAAAATGTATTTGAATATGTTTTTGTCAAACTATATTGAATATGAGCAATTTATCCATAATTTATCTGTAGTGTTACGTGATATATAATTGGATATTATAAATTATATTTTGAATAACATGTTATTTATGATATTTACATAATGAATTATAACCCTCATCTTACTTCAACTTAACAGTAAATGGGCGAATTTACGATCATGAGTTGTATTTAAAATAAGATATGTTATTTCAAATTATTTGGAGATATCATCTTTTTTTTTTCAAATTTCAAATCAAAAGAGATAAAAAAATTTGCAAATTAAATTATAAATTTACTATCTGACAAAAAAAATTGAAATTTACTAGCATTTTTTTCCTCAAGTAACACATATTTGTTTGTCTAAATTTATGAAAGTTAAATTGTAAGATTGATGTTGGCAAATGAAAGTTTGATACGATAAAATTTTTATGGTTAATTATGGATGACATGGCAAATATTACTATATGTTTTGCGCTGGCATATATTCATAAACATCTTTGTAGATTCGTAACATATTGATTATTTAAATATGTTCATAAACATATTTTATTAAACTTTTGATCTGAATTCAAATCAGAAAATGTATATCAAACTGTATATTAAAAATAACTGATTCCAATGTCAAATTGCACAAATCATCTAATTCTCTCTCTCGAACATGATTCGAAGGCTTTGAGGGTCTAATGTCAAATCAGACTTTACAAATTTCGGATCCTTTTTCAATAATTGGTTTGAAGGCCTTGATGGCTTGATCTCAATGATGGGTTATGTGGCACAATTATGCAATTGTGGCTTACCACGTGTCAATTATAGAGGTAAAGTTAAATGTCTCATGATAAGTACATGAGAGAACATTCGCTTTTAACTATATAATAGATGTTGATCGCATTCTCATGTAGCATCACGTAATTGATGATTATAAGAAAATTTTAGAATGATACTGTCATGTATTTACGTTAATTATTATGAATTTTACGTTGATGTTATTATTAATATGAGTCTCGTGGAAGAAACATGCTGTTTTGATAACAATGCAAACCTCACTAATGAAGCGCCTTCCTTAGGGCATTCTCGTGAGCTTGAATTTGTTCTCTTTTGATACTTCAACATCAGAAACCTATAACAATCATATGTGACAAAATATGAGCATTTCAAGACTCTGGCACAGAACAATTTTGAATAATCTATTTCCTCTACTCATCTCGCACGCACCGAATCATTTCAAATGAAATTTGATAATCACACCTTTGTGCAGTTTCGATCAATGCTTGAGCCTGTCTCCGTGGTTGTTAGAACTCGAAGGCTAAATTTCATACTCTCATGGGAATCATTAGCTAGGATTCATTTATTGGCGAAGTATAATTATGTGCGAAATGAGAAGGAGATCGATTTTTCATAATTGTTCTATGCCAGATTGCTCATATTATGTCACATAAGATTGCTTTAAGTTCATGATGTCGAAGGATCAAAAGAGAACAAATGCAAACTCAAGAGAATGCCCTATGGAAGGCGCTTCATTAGTGAGGTTTGCATTGTTATCAAAACAAGAAAGTTTCTTTCACAAGACTGGAGGATAGTGAAGCATAATTTTCTGAAGAGTATATCCTCCTATGACAAGGAAGTGTTTCCGGTACTTTATGGGGTTATTGCCAAACAGGTAAAGACTTGTAGAAACATTGTACGTATACTGTGCTTCATTCTTGTTCTAAACTTCTAGACCGCTGTAAAATTAGCACAGTTTCTAAAGGTTGAAATTGAAAGAATAAGCAGATGCTTAAGAACAAGAAAATGACACAAATGGTCACTAAATCTTGGTTCAATGTGCAATATGATCAATGAACTTTGAATTTGTGTTTCCCTGAACTGTTGGTATATATTCAATTTAGTTCTTGAATTTTATGAAAATGTTCAATATTACCCCTAAAATTGAATTGATGAAAGGACAACATTGCATATTTTCATATAGTTTAGGGATTAAGTTAAATATGTACCAAAATTTCGGAGATCATAGTAAACAAATTAAAAATTTAGGGATTACTATTGCATGTTAGGCCAAATTTTAGAACCAATTGTATCATTATTACTTAAATTTTAACGTGTGCCCGTGGCACCATGCCTACTCTGTCCTAAAGTGTCCTCAATAGTTCGTTTTTTGGGTGCACTTATTTTGCGAAAAATAAAAGAATTGAAAAATATTTTTCTAAAACTAATCGTATGTATCGACTACAAAAAGTAACGAATGAAAAAAATTTCAATTGCCTGCGAAAATGTTTAGACATAATTTGTTGTCGACTATGAAACATTTTTCATCGAGTAATTATTTCAAGAGATATAAACGACCATTTTTAAGAAAATATTTTTTAAATCCTTTATTTTTCGTGAAATAAACGGCTTTTTTTTATTACCATCCGAAAATCCATCAAACACAATAATTCTCTGAATTTTTATTTTTGTAATAATCATTAATCTTCATTTATTTTTCCATTAGCATGTATCATGCACGTGATTTTTAAAGAATCAAAGTATATTTTCATATCATTTTATATAGAAAATTTCCCTTTACTCTTTGCAAACGTAAGAATAAATAGAAAGGCTGGATTAGAACAGTTTGAAGTAAGCAGCGATAAAATTGTCCCCAATATTGAGACTTTGTACTTTTAACAAGTGATCCCTCGGTGAGTACACCCTGCGTTAGGAATAATTATGCGGAAAACAGATTTGAGAAATTTCTGTATAATTTGATGTTTATATTAATAAAGAATACATGAGCCTATTTATAGGCTTATAACTATTTTATGATAATATCTCAATCAAAATATGCACAATCAAAGAGAGATAGACGTGCAATTTACGTGCAATTATACTGCGATTTACGTGCAATCTATGTGCAATTTACGTGCAATCCACGTACAATCTTAAGAGATAAAAATAATTAACATGTGACTGGAACCTAGTATAAATACAGACATTAGAGGAATGTAGTTGATACCATCAATATACTTTGCTAATGTGAAGGATGCTGTGACTGGGAAGTGTCCGCGCGACTTAGTCATTTCTTCTTGCATCTCCAAGCGACTTGGATGCGAGTTGCTGCAAGTCCTCTCTGGTATGGTGATACATACTTTATGGTTCTTTGAATGTTTGGTTTGCGCAGGAATCTTCTTCGTTTGCGCAGGAATCTTCTTCAAGGTCTTTTGCTCGTAGTGCAAAGGCTTCAACACTTGTCACGCATGTTACCGGCGGCGTTTGGAGAAGTAATTGGCCACCTGGTTGCCAAAGCTGATGAACATCTGAAATAAGTTCAAGACAAAATTGATGAGAAATAGAAAACGTGATAAGGATGCTACAAAATTAGGAAACAAAGAAACGAAAATGAGTGAGTACATGAGGGAAGGAGACGTAGAAACCACAGGAGAAGAGAGGGGAAATCTCAGTTGCGTACATGGCGGTAATCATGAGAGCGAAGCCGGCGCCGAAAGTGGCACAGGAGCAGCCGGCCAAGAAAACAGAATAGCACGGGGCAAAACCCATAAGAAGGGGTCCGACGAGATATATGATCCTTGCCACCATAATCGTCTTGTGGCAGCCAAACTGATCAGAAATCCATCTCGCCGTCACCAATCCAAGGAACGTGAACATGCTCAGGCTCCTCGTCAAAACATCAAGATGGACTTCGGATACTTTCAGGTCCATCTTTATATATGCTGCCGCCCCATTCGTCGTTGCTTGGACTGTCAAAATTTTAAAAAAAATCTTATTTACCATTACAATGTTTATAACTATATATAAGTAATTCAAAGAATTGCCTTAACTTCTCGCAAATTTCATCTGTGATGTGATCTTCCATCACTGCAAATGTTCTCACTCTTTTCACAAATTTGAAGAGATGGTGTCTTATGTCTCTTTGAAGATCTTCAGGAAAATTCTCGAGAATCATTTCTTCATTAGCTCCTCTAGTGGCAGTCCAATGGTTTTGCTTACCGTTTAGGAAAATAACCAATACAGTCCTAAACCTATTTTTGTGCCATTTCAGTGTTAAACCTTTTGCATTTGTACCAATTTAGTCCACCTGGCCAATTTTTGCCAGCCAGTATTGACGTGGACCCCGACCAGCGCTGACGTGGCAATATTTTAATATATATTTTTTATTTTTTCAAACTTTTTTATTAATTTTTTATTAAGTTTTTCCTTTTGTTTTCCTTTTTTTTTTTCCCTCCCTTCATCTTCAATCTCTAGTCGGTAGCTGATGGCGACTAGCCATAGGCGGGGGCCGACGAGGTCGGCCTAGCGACGGTGAGGACAAGCCTTGCCAGTGGCTGGGCGAGGACGAAGAAAAGAAAAAAAAGGAAAAAAAGAAAGTAAAAGAAAAATAAAAAAATCGAAAAAATAAAAAAAAATTAAAAAATTGCAATGTCAGGATTGGCCACGTCAGCATCAGGTAGCAAAAATTGGCCGGATTGATTGAATTGGCACAAATGCAAAAGGTTTTAGGAGTAAATTGACACAAAAATGTTAAGATTGAATTAGCATAATTACGATAGGTTTAAGATTATTTTGGTAATTTTCCCCATATTCTTCTTCTTCGCTGTTAGTTTATATCCAAGATGTCTAACAATGGTGATGCTTTCTGATATGGTTTTTCGGTATTCCAAGAGATGTTGAGACATTTTTGAAGGAATAGACATAGCCTAGGATAGACCTTTTCTTTTTGCAATTTATAGTGCAAAGTTACAATTGCCACATGCACATGACACAATGTTTAGGTAAACTCCATTTCCATGATGTAGTTGACCATTCAGAATTGGGTTGTTTTTGGCCTCTCTCGCTCCAAAAGCCAGCTCAAAGAATCAATGCCCCTTCCACAATCAATGGGCTCTTATACCAAGTTAAATGTAAGAATACGGAAAAGAGAAAATGGGGAATTTTTTTGTATATTTCGATATATATGATATATAGTACATGGGCCTATTTATAGGCTTTATTGGATGACTACTTAATATAACAATATAACTACGGGTCGTGCTTTTTGCACTCCTATTATGGCTAAAACACTCATTCTTATAATGTTTTGACAATATTAACTTTGTGGGTCCCACTTTTTTTAAGCATTCTTCAACTGCTTCTCTTCTTTCTCTTTATTGGCGGGGCCACTTTCCTTCTTTTCATTTTTTTCTCTTTGTGCTCTCTCTTTCTAAAACATCCCTCTCATGTCAATAATCTGTGTTAAAGCCCAGATTTGCAGAAACCTCATCTTCACTTAACTAGTCCTGTTCCATCTCATGTCAAATATGAATTATCTTATTTCGCATCAAACTTTTTGATTGATCGATAATGAAGACAAGAGAAAAACCCATTAAAGATTCAAATCCAAGAGCTGAAGCCCTCACCCCAAAAACTCATCAAGCTCATAAGCAATCTCAACTTCTTCATCTTTGACTTCTTGGTCCTAATTGTCATCGCTATTGCCGATTCGCCATCCCTTACTAGCCTCCAAATACATGGCTGGAATCTCCCCCCCTCTCACTAAGTTGTTTATGCAAACCAAAAATGCAATCGGCAAGGATTTGCCCCTCCTCGTCCTTGCGGTCTCTCCTACTTCCACGCCAATCTTAATTACCAAGTTGCCACTGCTGGTGATTGAGAGGACTGAAGAGGTGATTGCGAACTTAACTCTTAAGTCTGAGCCCTTATGCGATGAGGTGGCCCTATCGCCCGTCAATTGTTCGAATCCCCGTGTTCTGATAGGTGCAAAGTTCAATGTGGGAGCCAGGGTATCAAACTCCGGTTAACGATTGAAAAACCGATGACTGCGATGTGGTCTGGACGATAAGTGATAGAGACATATCACAAAAGAGAGTTTTTTTTTTTTTTACGTATACCACCAATGCTTGAACCATAACCAGATTTAAGAACTTACGGAGATAAGTAATGAAGCAGGAAAATGGAGAGAAGTTACGAAAGAGGAAAATGGAACTCACGAGAAAAAATAAAGAAGAAAACAAACGCAACACCACAACCAAACAAAAAAGATCCTTAAAAAAGATGGGACCCACAAGGGTTAATATTGTCAAAACACTGTAATAAAGAGTGTTTTAGCTATAGTGGGAGTAGAAAAAGCGCGGCCTGAAAAAATGATACGAGAAAATTATAATGGTTTAACATGGACGACATGGCAAAAAGTACCATATGTTTTGCACTGGCATACATTCATAAACATCTTTGTAGATTCGTAACATATTTATTATTTAAATATGTTCGTAAACATATATTTAATTAAACTTATGATCTGAAGTTAGATCAGAAAATGTATGTCATTGTATTTTAAAAAATCACTGCTTACAACGATCAAATTGTACAGATTATCTAATTCTCTCCGGCCTTGATGGTTTAATGTCAAATCGGACTTCAGAAATCTCGGATCCGTTTTTAATAATTGGACTTGAAGGCCTTGATGGCTTCACCTGGGTCATGTGGCGCAATTATGCAATGTGGCTTATTACACGCTAATCATAGAGGTAATGTTAAATGTCTCATGACGAGTACATGAGAGAATATTCTCATAACTCCGGCTTTTAACTATATAATAGATGTTGATCGCACTCTCGTGAAGCATCACGTAATGTATGTTTTTTTTTTGCTAGAAACGTAATGTATGTTATTATAAGGAAATTCTAGAAACTTGTTTTGATAACAATGCAAACCTCACTAATGGACAAAGAAACGCTTCTTTCATTAAACAACCAAATTAGAACCACACAGAAGTTCGAAATCACAACATATGGGCCCTCGCTACAATAAATAAAAAACCTCACTAATGAAGCGCCATCCATAAAGGAATTCTCGTTAGTTCGCATTTGTTCTCTTTTGATCCTTCAACATAAGGAACCTATAACAATCAGATGTGACATAATATGAGCAATTTCATGACTCTGGAAAAGAACAATTATGAAAAATCGATCTTCTCTTCTCATCTCATACATATCGAATCATTTCAAATAAAATTTTATAATCATGCCTTTGCGCAGTTTCGATCAATGCTTGACCTGGTCTCCATGGTTGTTAGAACTTGAATGCTAAATTTCATGCTCTTATGGGAATCTTTAGCTAGTATTCATTTATTGGCGATGGATATGTAGAACAGAGGATACACAAAATTTCATTTGAAATGATTTGGTTATGTGCGAGATGAGAAGGAGATCGATTTTTCATAATTTGTTCTATGCCAGAGTCATAAGATTGCTCATATCATGTCACATATGATTGTTATAGGTTCATGAAGGATCGAAAGAGAACAAATGCGAACTCTCGAGAATGCCCTATGGAAGGCGCTTCATTAGTGAGGTTTGCATTGTCATCAAAACAAGTTTCACAAGACTTGAGGATAGCGAAGCATTTTTCTAAAGAGCACCCCCTCCTACGACAAGGAAGTGTTTCCGGTACGACACGGGTTATTGCCAAACAGGTAAAGACTTGTAGAAACGGTGTACCTATACTGTCCTTCATTCTTGTGCCAAAGTTCTAGACTGATGTAAAATTAGCACAGTTTCAAAAGGTTGAAATCGAAAGAATAAGCAAATGCTTTGGAATAAGAAAATGACACAAATGGTCCCAAAACCTTGGTTCAACGTGCAATATGATCCATGAACTTTGAATTAGTTTTTTCCCGAACTTTTGGTATATATTCAATTTAGTCCCTGAACTTTATGAAAATGTTCAATAGTACCCTGAAATTGAGTTAATGGAAGGATAACATTGCATATTTTCATTTAGTTGAGGGATTAAGCTAAACATGTACCAAAATTTCGGGGACCACATTAAACAAGTTAAAAATTTAGGGATCACTATTGCACATTTGGTCAAAGTTCAAGAACTAATTATATCATTATTACTTAAATTTTAACATGTGCCCGTGGCACCATGCCTCCTCTGTCCAAAAGTGTCCTCAATATTTCGTTTTTAGGGTGCGTTTATTTTGCGAAAGATAAAAGAATTAAAAAAATATTTTTCTAAAAATAATTGTATGTATTGACTACAAAAAGTAACGAATGAAAAAATTTTCAATTGCCCACAAAAATATTTAGACATAATTTGTTGTCGACTATGAAACATTTTTCATTGAGTAATAATTTCAAATGATATAAATGATTATTTTTAAGAAAATATTTTTTTAAATCCTTTATTTTTCGTGAAACAAATGGAGCTTTTCTTTTTATTGCCATCTGAAAATCCATCAAACACAATACTTCTCTGAATTTTTATTTTGCAATAATCGTTAATCTTCATTTATTTTTCCATTAGCATGTATCATGCACTTGATTTTTAAAGAATCAAAGTATATTTTCATATTGTTTTATATAGAAAATTTCCCTTTACTCTTTGCAAACGTAAGAATAAAATACAAATGCCGGATTAGAACAATTTGAAGTAAGCAGCTATAAAATTGTCCCCAATATTGAGACTTTGTACTTTTAACAAGTGATCCCTCGGAGAGTACACCCTGCATTAGGAATAATAATGCGGAAAACAGATTTGAGAAATTTTTGTATAATTTGATGTTTATATTAATAAAGATTACGTGAGCCTATTTATAGGCTTATAACTATTTTATGATAATATCTCAATCAAAATATGCACAATCAAAAGGAGACAGACGTGCAATATACGTGCAATTATACTGCGATTTACGTGCAATC